AACATTTAATTTTTAACCATATTTTATTCTTAATAATGGTTTTCCACTTCTTAAAGGTATTGAATACTTCTTACTTTTGTTTCAAAAAATAAATTCATACCTATCTAGTGAAATCATTAATGAAGATAACATAGTATCGTGATCCTCCCAATGATGAGACTGATGTTGATCCATACACATATGTATGAACAAGTTCCAACTTCCATGTACGTAACACTCAAAATTTATTAAATTTCTATTTTTTATATTGAAAAGTTCCAACATCTAAAATGAAAATTACATTATATTTGTTTATTTGATAAAATTTCACATTATTTTCCCATTGAGTAATTTTTACATCTTCAATTCAAATAATTAGGATAAGAACAATCAATATTCATGATCATTAGATGCACCATTAGAAGATTCCTCAAATTTTCCATCTTTGTAATTTTCTTCCTCATCTTCAACAACACACAAAATTGAAGAAAGAAAAAATTAGTAAAAAAAAAGATTAGCAAAAATATATTTGAATTAAATGAATTACCTTCATAAAAGCTATGTTTCCAATTTGAAGTATAAATTATTGCTTCCACATTCTCGGGCAAAAGACGATTTTTGTATTTATTAAGAATCCTATAACCAATATTAAATACAAATTCAAAAGCAACTGTAAAATAAATAAAGAAGTTAAAAATATTAATTGAAAATTCATAAAAAACAATTGACTTAAAGTTATTAATTTACATTAAAGAGACTTAGTTTTGAGAATGAAATATCAACATATTTGTATTTCAAAACATTTGAAGTTGTACTTTTGCTACAATATTGGGAGAAAAACATGTACATTTTTTTCTTTATTTTCTCCAACTTTACTTTACAAGCAAGTGTATCAATTCTTTCATAACAAAATCTAATGTTTCCAACTTCATCCATGGGTCTAAAATTGCATTAAATGCAAGTACAACACCTGTATTCATCCTAATATTTATCAAATTTCATCCTTTTTTTTTCAGCCATGTCCGTTATAACTTCATCTTCATCTTTTGCACTTTCCATTAAAAGACACTGAATTTTCCAAACTTGTAAAAAATACATATTGGAAGTAGGATAACTTGTAACTAAAATTAAAGTAGTTATATCATAAAATGACAACAAGAAAACACTAATTTTTTTCTACTGTTTTCCATTCTTCTTCAAAAAGACAATACTTATAATTTTCATTTATTAGTTGTAAGCTTCCAAAAATACGTTGGTATTTAAGAGCACTTTGAAGCATCAGATAAGTTTAAACACAACCCACTTGAAATATTAATGTCACCAGAATTTTGAAGGCATTGTTTGCATTTAATCATCCTACTCTTTGAACCCTTAACATATTTGATGCTCTCCCTGGTTTGATCCAATGCATTACCAAGTACCTTCAATCCTTCTTGAACAATCAAATTTGAAATGTGTGCACAACAACACACATGAAGGAATTCACCATCACATATTAACCAGTTTTGCAAAACAAGTTGACTTTTTAATGTATTTAGCAAAACATCATAACTAGAAGCATTATCCAAAGTAATAGAAAAAAATATTTTTATCTATTCTCCAATCATGCAAAATTCATTTATCTTCTTAGATAACTCAAACCCAGTATGAGGTGGAGGTAAATGGAAAAAGTTAAGAATCTTGCTACTTAACTTCTAATTTAAATCAACATAATAAGTTGTCAAACTTATATAACATTCAATAGTACAAGATGTCTATAAATAAGAAGTTAAACAAATCCTACTACAAATGGTAACCAACTCTTTTTTAACTATATTATTTTCTTTCATAAATATTCTCAATACATCGCTCTTAGTAGTATTCATAGACACTAATATTGCATTAATATTCAAATAATTTATCCAAGTCCTAAGCCCTGGATACTCAACAAATTTAAAAGATAAACCATGTCGGATAATTTATATCTCTCATGCTTGTGATGTCTAAAGCTTCATCATATGCTAGACGAACTTTGCCATAATTCTCAGTTTTGAAAATTTTCATCAAGTCCTTATAAGGAAAAACATGAAAAGATGCACCAGAATCAATTATCCAAGATTCAAACTTGCTTTCAACATAATAGATCAACGCATCATTAATGTCTTCTTGTGTTACATTCATTGTATTGACATGCCTCTTTTCTTTAGAAGTAGTACAATGGTTTTTAAAATGATCGTTTTGCTGATAATTTCAACAAGTAATATCCTTGCGATGTTTGAACTGTCTTTACTTCTTAGACTTTGATCTACCACTCCTAGAACCTTATCCTCTTTAAGGCTTTCTACCTCTACCTTCGGTGCATAATAAGGAACTTGTTAATTCTATGATGTTCCTTTTATGAACATCCTCAATAAGGATTTGATCCCTAATTCCTATAAAGGTGAATTTCGTAGTCTCATATGTACTGGATACTGCCATGATAGTCCCTGACCAACTATCAGGCAATAAAGATAATAATAAGACTCGTATTTCATCATCAAATTAATATCCATTGACACATAATTTTGACAAGAATACCTTGTTTGATGTTGATGGCTGCTTGTACATGTTTGATAATGTCTTTATCAAACCATATGTTGTCTTCTCGTTGTAGGCAACATTCTTTGCATGTTAATCTGACGACTCTCAAAACCTATCGATCTAACAACTATCAATCTGTCTAAGACATCATTTCTGGTTTATTATCAGAGAAAGGTTGGTGCAACTTCTTTTGATATAAATAATCTTCAATTTGCATCTTCCAAAATCCGAAATCACTTCCATCAAACTCGTTAATCTTCACGCTTTTTTGTCTTCTTCCATTGATCTCAATCGCGTGAAACCCTAAGTCCTAATACTACTATTGAATCTTTCGAGAACTGTTGATCACCACACAAATCATCTGCTCTAATACCATTTGTTGGGGAACACAAATGCACTATAAGATGAAAATAAATAATAAGAACACAAGAAATTTATCTCGTTCAATCAAAATGATCTACGTCCACGGCTACACTAGATAGTAGTTCTCATATGTATAATTAGGTTTACAATTACATTAGTATTTATAATAAAAAAAATAAGTAAATAGGTCAAACCTAATAATCCTTGCAAATTCCTTGTACTTAACAACTTCCATTATGGAGGAGTAACAATATTAAGATTTATTGTATTCTTTATTCATTTGTTACAAAGGAACAACAATAATTCAAAATTCATTCTTATAATTTTTTTTAACCATTGTAAGAAATAATATATTTTATTATTATAAATTTTGATAAATTATTTTATTTTACATATTTAAAATATTAGTAATTTTTTTATTATTTATTTATTATTTAAACATCATAAAATCTTTATATGTCTTTATCTTTTTGTGAGATATCAAAATAATATATTATACAACTTAATCAACTTTTGAAATGATTTTTTATGTCTCGTGAGTTTTAGAATAGAATTTTTTTTTTTACTTCTTAATATTTTACTAAAAAATTCTCTAACAATTAAAAAGTAAAGATTAATGACAATTTATAAATTATCTTTATAACCTATAAACGTTTTTTAATAATACAAAAATTCAAAACGAATAATATTTATTATGATAATTAATCCTAAAAATATTATAGAATAAAATATTATGTTACATTTCTCTAATATCATATCTGTTTATTTCATATTTACGAGTTCAAAAGAAAAAAAAATTATTTAAATGGAAAAGTCATCTGGAAGTCAACAACTTCTTCAACTTCCCCCACTTAATATTCCACCTTTCAATTAGTAATCGTCACCACAACTGAATATTCCAACTTTCAATTTGCTAATTTTGAAAATTCAATAGTTTTGTAATGAACTTCTTCATTCATCATATGTTAGAGATTTTTTTAAAAACTAAGCTTTTTTTTTCAACCATGGTCGTTAAAAGCAAAAAAAAGTTTCAAATTATTTTGCCATATCATATCTGTTTATCCTCATTTTGAAAAAAATTAAGTATTTATTTTTTTCTCGTCTCTTAATTGAGAATAATTTTCATTAATTGGATCGTGATTATTATACTCAAAAGCAATAACAAACAACATTTTTGTATGATCTTATTGTTTCTCCTCCACATTCATATTAAATGGATTGAACGAATGTGCAATCAGGTGATTTTATGACTCATTCGATCCATCATATCTCCCATCAAACAATGTGTCATATGAGTAATTTTAACACATCTGTAATATTAAAAGATCTGTAAGATTATTTTTCACATTTTGATATGTTTCATATTACAAATCTTCAAGGTCACATGCAAAAATTGTTGAAGAGGTAATTCAAACATTTTTTGGCACTACTAGTCTTAAGATCAATGGAAAAATTAACATTAGTCTAATAAAATTCAATATATTTGAGATAAAAAATGTTGATTATGAATGATATGAAAATATTTTTTTTATAATAAATCAAAATTTCGCATGGATTTAATTAAAAATGTAGTTGAAATATGATTATTTCCACTAGATAAGAAAGTTTTCACATATTCAATTAAATTACGGTTATTTGTATTTTAAAATTAATTATTATAACAAAATCAATTACCTTTATTTAGAAATTAATCCTACATTTTAAAAAATTAATTTAATTTTAAAAATACAAAAAAAAGTAATGACTCTTGAAATTTTACGATAATCTCTTTAAAAAAATATTAAAACTAAAACATTGTTTTTAGTTGATGATGTGTATATAATATTATAGAAAAAGTTTCATTTTAGTAATAAAGTTAAGTGATCTTACCATTTTAATTTTAATTTAATACATTTAAATAATCTCAGCATAACCTTGCAACGCACGCCTGAGCAAAGTAGAATGAGTATATATAATGAAAACTGGTTAAGCTGTAACAATACCTAGTCCAGTCAGACACATAAGTAAGGTTCGTCACCAAGAGCCGCCGGCGTTATCCCTCGCTCTCGCCGCTGCCGGAACTGCCTATCTCTCCGCCGAACACCACCAATTCCTTTCAAATGGCTGACAATCGGAAACCGCCGAAGCTTCCCGTTGAAGGAAAGCGCAACATCCTAATCACTAGCGCTTTGCCTTACGTCAACAACGTGCCTCACCTCGGCAACATCATTGGATGTAATTTCCATTCTATCTTTTCTCACTGTTCGTTGTTTCATTGCTTCCTTCCATTTTAATTTGATCGATTGGAATCCACGATTGAATCTATATATTTATCTTGCTGGCGTCGCCGAGAGATTAACGCCTTGGTTTGATTCTGACTAGGCGTGTTAAGTGCCGATGTGTTTGCTCGCTATTGTCGGATTCGGGGTTATAACACTATTTACATGTGCGGTACGGATGAGTATGGAACCGCGACAGAGACTAAAGCCATGGAAGAAAACTGCTCTCCGAAGGAGATTTGTGACAAGTATGGGTTTCTCTTTATTTTTTAATTTTTAAATTTAACATGTGTTATACATGTTTGCATACTCACTATTATATTATTGTAATGTAATTATCCTGTAAATTAGTTATGTGATTAGGGTTGATGGCATAGCTTGGCTTATATTCAAAGGATTGTTTCAAGTGAATTATTTCATGTTTTGGTGGAGTAGATTTGCAAGTCTATTGTTGTAAACTTGTCTTACAGTCACTCATTCCTTCGAAGAAACTTCAATAATACTCTTAACTGTCTCTCCCTCTGCATTTGTAGATACTATGCTATACATAAGGAGGTGTATAATTGGTTCAACATAAGTTTTGACGAATTTGGGCGGACATCCTGCCCTCAGCAAACTGAAGTTTGCCAAGAAATTTTTAAAAAGATATTTGACAACAAGTGGCTCTCGGAAAACACAATGCAGCAGGTTCTTTGGCCGAACTGTATCTATTTAATTTTTTAGTTGGCGTTGTTATTGTCTCCTATTTGTTTTAAATTGTAAGGGTAATTTCCCCATGTCAAATATTGTGGAGAATGTGATTGTTAATGCTTATTGTATTTCAGCTTTATTGCGACACTTGTGAAAGGTTTTTAGCTGATAGGCTTGTGGAGGGAAACTGCCCAACTCCAGGGTGTGAGTATGATTCTGCTCGAGGAGACCAGTGTGAGAAGTGTGGAAAACTTCTAAATCCAACGGAATTAAAAAATCCCAGATGCAAGGTATTAACCTGCCCCACTTCTAAATTTTAACCCCAGGTTTTATAACTGTTTTATTAATTAATGGTTTCATTCCTATATGTCGAAGCTTTGGTTATGATTGTCATGGGCAATCTTACTGAATTGAATGGATTTCTCAATAGGAGTTTTTAATAGTTTTTGTTTCGTAGTTTTATTGCACAACTCTGTTCCTGAGTTTTGTTTTCCCTTTTGTGATGAGTTTTTTTCTTTGGTTCTTTTTTATACCTTTAAATTTAGTCAAGTTTTCTGGAGCAAACATGTTCGTGTACTTGTAAAATAATAGTATAATTTTATAGTTGTTGGGTAGATGAAAGTTTATGATTTATTGATGAGATTTTTGACATCCATAACAGGTTTGTCAGAAAACTCCTCGGATTCGGGATACAGACCATTTGTTTCTCGAACTCCCTTTATTGAAGGATAAATTGGAAAAATACATCAGTGAGATGTCTGTGGTTGGTGGATGGAGTCAGAATGCCATCCAAACAACAAATTCATGGCTTAGAGAAGGACTAAAGCCACGCTGTATTACAAGGGATCTAAAGTGGGGGGTTCCCGTTCCACATGAAAAATACAAAGACAAGGTCAGTTTTCTATTGAGTTTTTCAAAATTTTAATCGTTTTAATATATTAGTTTTGTAGTTTATCTACTTAACTTTGTAATATTGGAAGGTTTTCTATGTATGGTTTGATGCACCAATTGGATATGTCTCAATCACTTCATGCTACACTCGTGATTGGGAGAAATGGTGGAAAAACCCAGAGAATGTTGAGCTGTATCAGTTTATGGGCAAGGACAATGTACCATTCCACACTGTAAGTTCTTGTCTTTATACAATTTGAGGATTTGTATGCTATTATGTGCTATTTCTTTACTTGGGACAATTTATCTCAGTATATTGTTTTCTATCATTTTCCCTCACTGATCTGTAATTCTCCGGCTGAGTTAAAAGTTCTTTCTAACATGATGGAATTTATTGTTCAGGTGATGTTTCCATCTACTCTACTTGGAACTGGTGAAAATTGGACTTTAATGAAGACTATTAGTGTTACCGAATACTTGAATTATGAATCTGGTTGGTTATCTGTTTTTCAATGGTTTGTCATTTTTGATAAAAATATCTAAAAAGAACACTTGTAGGTAAGGGAATAAATTGAATCAAAGAGGTAAAATAAACAACATTTTGCACAAGCTAAAATCAACTTATGTACCTGAAATATCAAAAGCATCCTCATTTAACTTCCCCATGATCACCTAAGAACTTATAAGGGCTTTTTACGAGTTAGGAATGAAATACTTATCTCAATTGAAAAGTTCCCACAGGCTAGAAGTTAATTTGAGTTTCTATGGGAGTGATGAAGTTACTAAATTTTAGTGAAAAAATATTTTTAGGGAAGTTTTCCAAGAGCAAGGGTATCGGGGTATTTGGTAATGATGTAAAAGATACTAATATTCCAGTTGAAGTATGGAGATATTACTTGCTGACAAATAGGCCTGAGGTAATTATATTTAAATACACTTTGTGAATTCTATTTTACCTATGTGTCTTGGCTCTTGTGAAACATTAAGGGATATTCTATTCTCTCTTAATTTGAATGAGATTATGTGATGTAGGTATCGGATACATTATTTACATGGCCTGATTTGCAAGCTAAACTAAATAGTGAATTATTGAATAATTTGGGCAACTTCATCAACCGAGTTTTGAGTTTTATTGCCAAACCTGCAGGTTGGTTGAACTTTTTCATAGTTTTTTCCCTTCAAATGTCTACTGATTAGCTGCTACAGATCCTTTGAAGTTACAATCAATAGTGTGGTGACTGTGTATATGTTGGGGTTATTGATAAATAGTTGTCCTTTTTCGCAGTTTCTGGAACAGCTAAATATCTACTATTTTCATTATTCCTGCTGTTTGCTAAGTTTTTTCGTTTACTGACTATTCATGTTGTCTAATGCACACATTATTTTGACTTCTAAAGGTCAAGGATATGATTCCATTATCCCCTCCATTCCTGATGATGTAAGTGGTGACTCCCATGATCTAACGAAAAAATTAGCTGATAAAGTTGCTGCATATATAGACCAATACATAGAAGCGATGGAGAAGGTAGTCTATCCTCCTCTTGAAACATGATATTTTAAATTGGAATCACTATAGTACACTGTCTTTTATTTTAACATAAAATCACAGTTTGATGGCATTTCCTTCTGCAATTTTTTTAGGTTAAACTAAAGCAAGGATTGAGAACCGCAATGAGCATATCTAGCGAGGGAAATGCTTATCTCCAGGTAACTTTGGAGCTGTTAAGTTGTTCCGTGAGCTGATGACACAAAGCTCATGTTATATATTTATTATATTCATGTTAAATGGCTGCCTCTGATTTTATTTTTTATTTTTATTTTTTTGCAAATAAATTTACAGGAAGCTCAATTCTGGAAACTTTACAAGGAAAACAAATCTCACTGCTCCATTGTCATGAAAACTGCAGTGGGGATTGTATATCTTCTTGCTTGTTTATTAGAACCTTTTATCCCATCTTTCACCCACGAAGTAAGTTAACTTCCCTGTAAATCTATATTGCACCTGTCACAGTACGATTTAATTATGTTAGGTATTTCAAGACATTCTCAGTTCTTGTCTGTTGTCTGGCATTAAGGTATTTAATCAGTTAAATTTGCCTGCGGAGATACATGTCTCACTTTGTGACGATAAAGGAGATGTTGATAGGGTAAAAATACCTTGGGATATCATAAGTTCTGGTCATAAGATTGGAACACCCAAGCCATTGTTCAAGGAGCTGGTAAGTGGCCCTCTTTCCGAAATATTAGTGAAGCAATTATAGGTATGCTTCTACTTAATTGTCATTGACTTTTTTGGAAATCTTTGACCAGAAAGATGAAGAAGTGGAGTTCTACAGGAATAAGTTCGCAGGAAGTCAAGCTGATAGGATTGTGCGAGCAGAGGTGGAAGCTGAAAATGTTGCTGAGCAACTGAAGAAAACAAAAGTTTCAGGTGTTTTATCCCGCTCTTCTATTTCTAATGAGTGTTCAAGGTTAAGAAGAAGGAAATCAAAGTCAGAAGATGAGGTATTATCATATAATTTAGATAGACAGCTTCCCTACAAAGTGATAGTTCAAAGGCGGTGTTTATTAAACGAAGAAAATTTATTAGCTTCCTAAATGTCAGTTCTTGAAGCATAAATTTCTTTTATGTGGGTGTTACAAATGAAAAGGAAGTTTCCAAATGGGAAGCATTAAGCCACTTTAAAAAACTATTTGATCATATCTATATTTTCAAAAGTTTTTGAAGAAAATTGATTTAACTTGTATTTGTGCCAGGAATGACCTTTTAGAGTTTGAAAACAAATTTGAACAGTCAACGTTAGGTGACATTTGTGCCATTCAGTTTATTTTTCTTATTTTCATTTTTTTATATTTTGTTAGCAAAAAAGTGTAATAATATTCCACTAAAATGCTTCTTTAATTAAAATCTCTAATTTATTTATCAAATAAAATTTTTTCTTACACTAAAATAGTTTACATATTAAGGTAGACGTTCAGTAATTAAGATTGTTCACATGTTTAATTGGTTTGAGTTTTGGTGTAAAATGAAAACCTAATTTAGTAAAGATTGAGTTTGTTTGCATAATGTTTTTATTATAAAAAATTATTATATTTTTTGTAGTGCTATCTACATTGTTTATAGACATGTTATATAAAATTTTTATTTTATATTGGTTCAAGATAAATATATTATTGTAGTTTAATGGCTAAATATTTATTATATTGAGGACTTATTTTTCTATTGTTATCGTATTATATATTTAATTGATATTGCAACGGGAATTGGTAAACCCAGATAAGAAGGTGAAAAAGACAAAAACTAATAAAAGTTAATTGATTAGGTCGTCAGATTGGTTTAGACTGAAAAATGATAAATTCGATATTTGAGTTCATTATATTTCATTTTATTCAGATCTATATTGAAAACCAACCATTTACCAAATCATGTCTAACCAAGTTAATTCGTTTTATTTGGATTGTCGTCTTCCTTGTGTCAATATTAGCTTATGAATATTCCCTACTATTATTCGAAACACCCTTGGATGTCTAAATATTATGAAGTAGCATTCTTCATTTACAAGGTTGGGACCTACTTTAGAGTATGATTTTATTGTTAAACTCTAATATGCATAACACATAATATTTTATTGGTGAATGACTTGAGAAATCCTTTTTCATTTATTCAATTTTGTCAAACGTCATATTGATGTCGAGTGTCATGAGAGTGAAAATTTGGTTTGATGATTTGGTGAAGGGTTTGACTTGATGGCACCATACAACTAACCATCAATCTTCTCTTGTTAGCATGATCAGCTATTGGCACCGAAATAACATAAGTGGTAAGATAATTTTGATATCTTAGATCAGAAATCATAGGGTAATATTAGAAACGCAAGTGGGGTTTTTCTAACCATCCAACTTCTTAGTGAAGAGAAGGAAATTTGAAAATAATGACTCTTGGTCCTTGGTGGGTTTGAAGTACTAGTGGAGGAAGCCATGCGAAATGAGGGGTAAAAAAATCCAAAACCCATAAAGAATAGTACCTGAATAACAACCTTGAAAGTGTAGGGGTTGCCAAATGAGGTCAAATAGAAATGATTGGATTGGGCTTTGCTTGCCCGTGAGGGGCAACATTGGTGCTTGTGTTTCCATTTATTGTACTGGCAAAAGTAGCTGTTTTAGGGGCATGTGGAGTCTTTGATGAAGATGCAGATGCCGGATCTAAGTATATTGGAGCATTGCACATTGGAAAGTAGGGATTTTGTCTGTAAGGGTTGCTAGAATAGCACTGCTGGCGATGGCTGGAAAAGTAGAAAAAGCTTGCGGAAGGAGGGGCAGTGAGTATCAAGGCGAACCAAAGATGTATAGGATTTACAAAACAAATATCCGGAGACGTGGGTTCTATTAGGCTCTGAATAGTATGTTAAAATAGAGAACACAGAGACATTGGACTGAATATTGTGTTCGAATACACAACAGATCTGTGTTTATGTAGACTCGTTACATTTATTTTGAATAAGTAGAAAATATTTTCTTTCTTCTAAACTATAGATTACATGTCTATACTAAACAAAGTATATTATTGTTTTGATGGCAATCCAAGTTAACTATTTGATTTAAACAGAAAATATAATAGTGAAAACAAAATGATACTTTATTAATAATATTAGAATTGATTAATAGATGAATTGGATCTAATGTGGCAGGAGCTATGATTAGAAATAGTTCTCACTTTTTCTGGGTAGGCAAGCTGATTCATAATTTTTAAGGCAAAAACTTATGTATTTGTCAAAGTTGTTCAGAGATCTAAAACCACTGGTCGGCATTTGTATTGATAATGTATCACATATTATTTATTACCCGGGCTTGGTTGAGCCATGATTTAGGCTTAAGTAAGTTAATCATAGTTGTCTTCAATTTTTGCAGTGCATTATTTTTCTTCAATATATAACAGAACTGTTCAAGATTACTTATACATATAGGGGGCTACTGTTTACTACAGATGGCAATGGAAAGAAAAAATCAGCAAAATCATCAAACGAAGCCAAAAACAAAGCTGCCACTGAACCAGATATTACCATCACAAGGCTTGATATCAGGGTTGGCCTGATAACAAAAGCTCAAAAACATCCTGATGCAGATGCGCTATATGTTGAAGAGATTGACGTTGGTGAAGAACAGACCAGAACTGTTGTCAGTGGGCTTGTCAAATATATACCACTTGATGAAATGCAGGTTTTTGTCTAACCAAGATTCAATATAACAAGTTGTGCAGGTGCTGTTTCAACTGATGGTTAATTAATGCTATTTACTTTCTTCAGAACCGAAAGGTCTGTGTTCTTTGTAACCTAAAGCCACAATCCATGAGAGGCATTAAATCCCAAGCGATGGTTCTTGCTGCTTCCAATGATGATCATTCCAAGGTAAGGAAAAATACAACATGATGTTGCTCTATTTTGACCGCACTTTAAATTATATTGTGAGTATAGCCAATCTTAATGGGTATAAGAATTAGTGTAATTACGTGTGATGAGTGTGTGTGATTTGATTATAAAGATATTGCAAGTACTAATTGAAAGGCAATATAATTCTCCATGATTGATGTATATTTTGTCTTCATAATTTGTAATGTACCATTTTTATTTCACATACATTGATAATCAATCTATGAACTTCCACTTCCTAATTCTTTCAAATGTTTCAAAGATAAAATTGGTCCTTGATTGGTTAGTAGAACCCTGGAATTAGATTGCAATTAATTTGGTTGTCTGCAGTGAATAATCAAACCAGAAACATGTCTGATTTTCCTAGATTTCTCCCCATCTTTGGATTATGGATAATGAGATGCATTGAATGAGCTAATGGTTTTACCATACTACATACGGCAGTTGTTTACTTGTGTGTGTACATCCTGCTGTTAAATATAATTTTGTTAAGAAATTATTTTCCTTCCCTTTTATTTTTTATTTTTTATTTTTTTGCTCCTTTCAATTGCTTCTCTACTCTGAGGTGTTAGATTACTAAATACCTCATCGCTGTGCTCCCTCCAGGTTGAGTTGGTTGAGCCTCCCAGTTCTGCTACTGTTGGAGAAAGAGTTACATTCCCAGGGTATGAAGGTAATCCGGATGAACTCTTGAACCCAAAGAAGAAAGTTTGGGAAACATTGCAAGTCGATCTTCATAGTAACGAGGATCTGGTAGCATGCTACAAAGATGTTCCCCTCACCACATCAGCTGGCGTTTGCAAGGTTTCATCCATACGCTGTGGATCCATTAAGTAGACAAACATAACGCATTGGAGTTCAAAGAGAAAAAATATGCAATTAAGAAAGCAAAGAAAACAATTCTTCACACTTACCATCCGATTGGCAGTTCAGTTGCCTTCTTCATTAGCCGTAAACGCAGAATTGCTTTGTGTAATTTGATTAGCTTTCTTCATCTTCATTTTAACTTCATTTTTTGGATGAGCTGGAACCAAAATATTAGGCCTTATTTCTATTTAATTTTGTTTCCTATTCATCTTTGTCTTACTTTGTTTTTCTTTCCAATTTACATTTAGGAAAACTGATTATCTTAACATGTACAATTATATTTATAATCCTTTCTAAGACCACTGACATCGTACTGTACTTTTCAAAATGAACGTTAACACCATATATCTAGATTCTTTATACTTCTAATACTAAATTCAATTACAAAATGAGTTCACATAGTGTAATCTCACTTTACTTCAAAGAAATAAAAATTTGTTTTTATCAATTTCCTAAAAGAGTTTCTGAAAAATTAACAATATAAAACTTCTTGTCAACTTAGTGAAAATTCTCTACACATGTCTTGACAGGATATGGGGGTGGTTACGATTTTCTCAATACACAGAAAAAGTACCATGTCTTGAAGTATTTTTGGTTCCATACAGTGTACAAGTTAACCTATTGATTAAATTTATCAAATATTGGGTATGTCTTGGTATTTTTGGTTTCATATGGTGTAAAAGTTAAACTATTGATTAAGTTTATCAATTATTTCATAATTTTAGTTACCTCTATGTATGTGCAGTATTACTTTTAATTGGATCATATAACTTTTATTTCATTTAAATTATGTGCTAAGACTAAAATTTCATGAGTATAATGTTTATGTTACTGGTATGTCTTCTCTTTCTTATTAATATGGGTATTATTTTTATCATGAGATCATCATCTACACAACCTCATCTTTCTTATTAGTTTCTAGCTATGATGGTTACAATTTAAAAAATTAAAAAAGAAAATTGTGATAAAAAATATATATAGTTTTTACTTATATCATAGTTATCCCAGGTCCTTAAGACTCAAAACAACTACCAACTCAATATCATTATAGTCATAGCCTACATATCACAATCATTGTTAAATTACTCTCTAATGCTAATCCTAGCGTCCCCATAACCTTGTCTCACATTTTTTTTATACATTAATATTTTTCGTATATTTAAAGATAAATGTTGAAGGTAATGCATATAAAATAAAAATTCAGTCAAATTTATATTTATTTTGGTTATCTTCAAATAATAAATGATAAAACATAAACTGTAATTTATCTGCAGCATGAGGAAGAACAAGACTATTCAATAAGTTTTAAGAAAGATTTTTCAAGTACTATAGTAAGTACGTAAACCTTTCCAAGAAAAAAAAAAAAAAGTCAAATCGAAAAAACATTTGATACATTTTATAAGTATAGGTTGGCCTTTCATCAGTATTTAAAAATCATCTCGTAAAAAAAAAATTTGGGTAACTTTGGAATATGTATTGAAAAGTATTGGATGAGATATTTGGTTTTTTAAATTTATATTTTCTAAGGATTCAGAATAAGATGGAGAAGAAAAAATAATGATGTATGAAAAGTACTAAAATGATAAATGGATGATCCTCTATTGACTATTCATCAATAATGTTGATAAATTTTAAATATATTGTTTTTTTAATTATAATGGTTGCCTTTTAATTTTGAACTCAAATGAATTTATTGTTTGTATTATTAATTGATGTATTTATCTATCTTTTACTTCATATTTTCATTGTTATTCATGTCTGTGAAAGTAGATGAGGAATTTGTAGATAGAGTTTATTGTTATTCTAGGGAATGTTTTATAGTTTAAAATGGTTGTTATATTTGGGTGTTAGTTGTATTTTGAGGGAAAATATGACTTTCTATTTTTGTGACCATTTTATATAACTAATTTTATTGTTTTCAAAATCGAAGGATTCAATTGAGCATCTACCGGGCAAAATTGGTAAAATTAAAAAATTTAGCTGAATTTTTTTATTGAACCTACTTTAATAAAAAAATATATTTAGAATCAAATTTTTTAATATAATATTTTTATAAAAAATATAATATATTTTTATTTTTTTTATCTCATATTTTGTAACTTTAATAATAATTATTTTATTATATTTTTATAAAAAATATTATTATTAATTAATTTATTATATATTATATTATCAAAGTATTATTTTATTAAATTTGATGATATCAGTTCAATCTTTGAAGAAACCATATTTTCACACCGTCAAATTTTGAAAACATTTACTAATTTGATGAAAGAAGGACTGATTTGATAATCAAACTTGATTTTATTTGATAGAAATTTATTTTCTCATATAACTTTTATCCAAAGCTTTAAAACATGTGAATGAGGTTAGTTTTTAATATAAACTAATGAATTTGAGAGAAATTTTGGCAAAAAAAAAAAAAATTATTTCTTACTTGAGTTGTGGTTGAAACAATTAGGTTATACTTTTTTTTATTACAATCCATAACTTCTTGATAAAAAAAAAACTTAACATTAAAATTTTTTGTTATATATATATATATATATATATATATATATATAATTTTCTTATAAGTGTTTTTTTTTCATTCGTTATAACCAACTAATAAAGTGTTAGGTCTTTGTAAAAATATTACTTGTAATTTCAAATACAATTATTTCTTTCATTCAATATTTATGTTTATTTTAATAGAAAATAAATTTTGTATTACCAAACTAAGAATTTATATCTCATGTAATAGGAAATTTTTTATTTCACATGTATAAGATATTTTTTTTAAATAATAGTCTTATATCATAATATGAAATATCTATATTAAATTTAAAACATAATATACTTTAAAAATATTATTTAATTTAAAATATATCCTTATATATAAATTTCACCAATATAAAATAATATTTTCTTATACAAAACTATAATAATATTTTTTTAAAGAAAAAAAAGTAAATTGTATCATAGGAACATCAAAAGGTTAATGATAATATTCCATAAGAAATAGTAAGTCAAATTAAGTGATTCAATTTAGTGTAAATTAGTTCATATTATTGGTTCTATTTAGTGTGTATACACATTTTCTAGGTGTTGAGGTTATTTACACTATAATAAAATGTGTGCAAGTATTATTTAAAAATTAAAATATATATTGTCATTTTTAGATAGTTTTTTTTAGTGTGTTGTCTTTAATAAATGATTTTGTGTTTTTATTGACAAATAAATATATCTATTGTTTCAATCTACAAAAAATTTGAAATAGTTACATGTAATTAATTATAGATAAAATTACTTATTAAAATAATAGAATAATGGGCCAAAAAAAACGAACTTTGGTCCTCTCAAGAGTGAGAAAGTAGAACACAGCCCATATCACTTTGCATAGCACCAAAATCAAATGGACACAGTGCTTTTTTAGTGTGCCTCTGTTCCTTTCTCACAAACTCTGCTTCAAATTCAAGCTGTCTTTTTCATCTCCCTCTCTGTCTATCTATATATATACACACATTTTTATTTTTTAACATTTCCAATAATAAAAATAAAAAGTCTAAGGTAGTTCTTTCTCGTTGAAGTATCTCCCGTTCTCTTTCGCTCTCCACTCTAGGGTTTTTCTTGCTCCTTTCCGTACACTACTCACTCTAGGGTTTTATCACACTCATTCCATGGCCGCCGAGAAGCTCCGGGATTTGAGTCAGCCGATTGATGTTCCCCTCCTGGACGCCACAGTCTCCGCCTTCTATGGCACCGGATCTAAGGAAGAGGTCTCTCTCATTTTTTCCAAACACTTCGCACTCACACCTAGGGTTTAATCACTTAATTCAATTAACGACTTTCTGTTTGGTTATATTGCGCGTGCTTTGTCACTTTTTCTATACGAATTCATCTCTTGTTGATACGTGCAGTGGTGGTGCAGTGGTGGAGTTGTTAATTGTCCACTCATTTATATGTTAAATTGGAAACTATATTGTTTGATTTTTTTTTTTTTCACTAGTGTGGTTAATTAATAACACGGGAACGGAAAAACTTGTTTCATTTTGGAAAATGTGCTACCCTAAAGGCCATATATTGCTTAGTCTGATGGATATTTTACACTCGTGCAGAGAAATGCTGCTGATCAGATTCTGCGTGACTTGCAAAACAATCCCGATATGTGGCTCCAAGTCATGCATATTTTACAAAATACTCAAAATATGAATACCAAGTTCTTTGCCTTACAGGTTGGTTTGTTTAATGCTCTGTTCCTTTGATTCTGTTACGGTGATGGGGATGAACTGTTAGTTTTAAGTATTATGTATTATAAATTTGTGGTCTTAAATAAAGGATGTGGTAATGCCTATGTGGTATCTACTAGCCTCGAGCTAGAACTGTGGTTTCAGTCATAACTATATGTCTAAACTTCAAAGATTTACGAGTAAACTTGTTATTGATAAGGAGCATTTATAGGCTTTGTCAAAGTTGGCTTGGACTACATCTATTGGGGTCTCCCCTTCAAACAATATTTTTCCATTATCTTGCCTGAGGAAACCAACTCAATTACCACTCTATTCAACCACTTGTTGGCACCTTTTAGTGGAGTTGTTTCTAGCATACCAAATTTGTGGTAGGGATCGATATACATGTTATGTTAATAATATTGGTTGAGCATTGCATTTGAAAAGATGCCTACTTAGAAATGTTTTAATTAAGATGCTTTACTTGTAGTTCTGTATTACTTGAGTACATGTAGGAAAAGATCCTGTATCATATGTGTTGAGTTTAGTCGCTGAGAGGCTTATGTCAAAAATATTCTTTAGATTTTATTACTGCTTCAAACTCTATCTGAGCAATGACTTCGAAAGAAAGACTTGGGTAGGTGTCAAATATGTTATCCATTTCTTGAGGATGTGATTTTAGATAACTTTATTAGTTTATTATATATTCTTATATTCTTGTACATTCAGGTTCTAGAAGGTGTAATTAAGTATAGATGGAATGCATTACCTGTTGAGCAGCGAGATGGAATGAAAAATTTCATCTCTGATGTTATTGTACAGGTATGAACAACATTCAAAGAAATCAGAAGTTTGACCTTTTTCAGTTTTTCTTAAGTTTGTCTGCATCAGTTATCTTATTATTGGCTTTTATTACGTAGCTTTCTAGCAATGATGCTTCATTTCGAGCTGAAAGGTTGTATGTCAACAAACTCAATATTATATTAGTTCAGGTAAAAATATAAAAAGGTAGTTCTGTCGGTTATTTTGCTGATTATTCTGATTCAATTATCAGTCTCACAACCAATTGTTTATTACATATGTTTTTCTCTATAATTTTCCATACTTAAGTTTAAGCTGCTTAGGAGTGTTTTGTCTGTTTTTCTTCTCCTTGTCTTTTCCGAGTACTTAATGCTTACAAATTATTTGCATTATTTCTTTTGTTCTTGAAATCTGCTATTTGGTGAATATGGCTTTTCCTTTCATTTTCTACTCACGAATTGGAAATCTCCCCATTCATGTGTCTGGGAAGCTTAATAGTTTTATCTTTATATAACAAGATGAAAAAATCTTTTGGGCAGTTATCTTACAATTTTCTTTTAGGTGTATATTTCACATTTTCATTTCCAAATTTTGTATTCAGAAGCCTTTGCCTTTGCATTGTATTATTTCTTGCATTGTTTTAGGAGTTTTTTGTATTTATAAATGTATTTTTGTTCTGCTAAAAGTTCTATGTAATGTTTGGTTTGTCCCATGAAGATTTTGAAGCATGAGTGGCCAGTAAGATGGCGCAGCTTTATTCCTGATCTTGTCTCAGCAGCTAAAACAAGTGAAACTATTTGTGAGAATTGTATGGCTATATTGAAAGTAAGTTTATTATACTTTACCTTAGATTCTGTTACTTATGTACATTAGTAACCTAAAAGTGTCTGTTCAGCTTTTGAGTGAAGAGGTTTTTGATTTTTCAAGAGGAGAGATGACGCAGCAGAAGATAAAAGAGCTTAAACAATCATTGAACAGGTAATTCATGTTGATAGCCTGTTTCTTATATATTTGTCCTTGTTGGTTTTCTGAAAGATTTGTAAGGTTTTTGCCATTTAATGTTATTTTAGCTGTGGGCTATATAATTTTTTGTTCACTTTTGTAAGATTTAGTGGTTCAAAGAATTGCAAGAGATGGTAACTCTGATTGTAGTAATAGCTAGGTAGAATTATTGATGATATTATGGTAGGTGACAAAGTAGATTGCGGTTGGCGTATTGCTGCAGTTAATAATTAGTGAATCAACTGGAAGGTTAGATTGGGTTGATTGACATAAAACAATGTAATTATTTATTAGCAATGACTTGTCTTTTTGAGAACTGATTTTTTTTTTTTTGAAAACTACGTAAGAATTATTTACTGCTCAACTGGTTAGGAACCATACATTGGCATATAACAACTTAATTGTTTCTAAACTGGAAAAATTTTCACCTGAAGATCCTTTGATCTAATTTATCATATGGTTTCCCCTTTTGTTTATAGATAATATACCTTAGAGTGCTTGATTAATGTATATAATGGCTTGAATTATGTACATACTACTTAGTTATCTGTTTGTTTCCCCTCATAGTATATGCTTTGGCTAGTTATTTATTAAGTCATTGGATGTGATTTTTGTACATTTACTTCATATCAAGTGTCTATTTATTGCTAGTATTTACACTTTGTTTTTTGCAGTGAATGTCAACTCATACATGAGTTATGCTTTTATGTGTTATCGGCATCCCAAAGGACTGAACTCATACGTGCGACTCTATCTACATTGCATGCCTTTTTATCATGGATTCCCTTGGGTTATATATTTGAATCACCATTGGTAGGTGAAATTTTCAGCAAAATATACTTGTTTTTGAGGATTCCATAAACTGAAATCTGCTTTATGTGTCTCACCAGCTTGAGACACTCCTAAAATTTTTCCCAGTCCCAGCATATAGGAACCTAACATTGCAATGTCTAACTGAGGTATATTCCTCCCTGAAGTGATTACGCTTTTTTCCCTGAGATTTTCAACATCAGTAATTCACTTTTTATTATTGCAGGTGGCATCCCTTGAATATGGGGGGTATTATGATGTCCAGTATGTCAAGATGTATAACATATTCATGGTCCAATTGCAGGTGTTTTGATCTTCATTTTTTGTAGAATATACTGCGTTCTTATTCGGTTCATTCTATTGATTTTATTTGTTTTTGTTGACTTTGAGAAATTGTTGTTTTAATTTAGAGTATACTCCCACCAACTACCAATATACCAGAGGCATATGCACAGGGTTCAAGTGAGGAACAAGTGAGTCTTTGTTGAAATAATATGCCTAATTTGCCTTATTAATTGTGCTGTATGTGACTGACCCTTTTTTCTTTTGTACAGGCATTTATACAGAATCTAGCACTTTTCTTCACATCCTTTTATGGGGCAAGTTTCATCTTTTCTGTATATTGTTCTTCAGGTTATTTTGTGAATGGATAGTCATCAGATAGCTTGGTTTAACTTCGAGAAAGAAATGTATCCCTGCTTAGGCCTGTGACTTCGAAAACATTGTAGACTATATTAGTAAAAATCATACTTCTATTGTGAAACAATGTGACCTTACTCATGCTTATGTTTTCTATTTTATTACTGACCTCCATCCCTTTTTTTCATGTACCATTTTTGGGTTTCTTGTTGAAGGTTCTACTCTCTCTTAACAGTATTCTGGTACCAATCTTTATGCAGATTCACATTCGCATCCTTGAATCCACTCAAGAGAATATAGCTGCTTTGCTGTTGGGCCTTGAATATCTTATCAACATATCTTATGTGGATGATACTGAGGTTTTTAAGGTATGTCAGTATTGGAATGTTAATTGCTTTTGCACATTTCTGTTATGAGTTTTATGTGGTGCACTTATGTATGTCTTATAAATGTCTCCTGCACTCCCTCCCTATATGTGTTAGCCTACATGTGCTTTCTGATTAAGTTTGTGTTCCACTCCTGCCTTTTCTAAAAACTCAAGTTTGTGTTGCAACTGGTTTTATTATGAATAACAGGTCTGTTTGGACTACTGGAATTCCTTGGTATCGTGGCTGTTTGAACCACACCGAAGTTTGGACAATCCTGCAGCTTCTGCAACCATGATGGGACTTCAGGTGTTCTCTCTAATCCTGCCACATTGATTGTTGAGATCAAGGATTAACAGATATCTTTTCCTTCACAAGGACACTTGTTTAACAAAATATAACTTGGTATTATAATACTCATACTGAAATATATGTGCTATGAATAGAATTATTTTAATTTTTTCTGTACTGTGATCTTGTGCTCTTTGTTCAGAAGGATATCTTAATTTATTAGCATATTGTTATTAGATTAAGATAAGATACATTGTTGTTAAATAACTTAATTTAAAAAGTAAATTCATAAATAAAGCGGATTAGCTCATTTTTTTTTTTAAACTGGGTTCTGTTATGTTTAATAGTGGGCACATCACCAATTTTCATATTTTCAGAAGGTTTGATTTTGAAGTCTGACAAAATAGTTTGGACTGTTAGTTCTTAAACTGTATATGTATTATGTTGGGTTAAACAATGTTTAAATGATGTGTTTCGTTCACACACACACACACACACACACACACACATATATATATATATATATATATATATATATATATATATATATATATATATATATGCTAATTGATGTAATTATTCATATATTCTTATTTCCATGTCTTGTGTGTTTACGTATTAATCTTTGCAAACACAGGTGATAGTATACTATGCATTAGTCTTACTGATGTATTTTCAACAATGAAATAATTAGGTACCAGCAATGCTCCCTGGTATGGTTGATGGACACAATTCTCAGCTTCTTCAGCGCCGGCAGCTGTATGCTGGTCCCATGTCAAAGCTGAGAATGCTTATGATCTGTCGCATGGCAAAGCCTGAAGAGGTTCTCATAGTTGAAGATGAAAATGGGAACATTGTTCGCGAAACCTTGAAGGATAATGATGTGCTTGTCCAGTACAAGGTTATACGATGAAATCTTAATTCTGCTAGTGTCCTTATAAATTGGTTGCATTTAATATTGATAGTATAAATTGGTGACACTACTTGAAATAGAAAAAGGAAAATAAAGAACTAATTTTGAGAGCCTGAAATCATCTTCTTGTGTTCTCTTATTTATAGGGGATAAAAATACAGATTCAGAGATACAATTAATAGAGAGAAATGATTAATCCTAGAGAAGATAAACAGATGCATTAGGTCTACAACTAATCTCATAAATGGCCAACAAGATACAATTAATCTAATAAATACTTCAATAATCCCCCTCAAGCTGGAGCATACTAATTGAATGTACCAAGCTTGGAACAAATGAATTCCATTCGAGGTCCTCTCAAAGATTTTGTTAATGCATCTGCAAGCTGATAATTAGAACCAACAAACTCAGTACAAATTTCTTTATTCAACAACTTCTCCCGAATAAAGTGACAGTCAATCTCAATATGCTTAGTCCTCTCATGAAATACTGGGTTGGAAGCAATGTGAAGAGCAACTTGATTATCACAATACATCTTCATAGATTGAATCTCACAGAAGTTCAATTCTTGCAAGAATTGTTTTACCCAAACAAGTTCACAAGTAAGAGATGCCATTGCCCTATATTCAGCTTCAGCAGAGGATTGGGCAACAACGTTTTGCTTTTTGCTTTTCCATGAAATGATATTACCTCCAAAGAAAACACAACAGCATGTAGGGGAACGCTTATCCATAGGAGATCCAGCCCAGTCAGCATCACAGTACCCAAAAATTTGGGTATTTCCCTTATCTTCATATAATAAACCTTGTCCTTTTTTTAATGTATCTTAAGATTCAAATGATAGCATTCCAATGATCCACACAAGGAGCTTGCATAAATTGGCTGACAACACCAACTGCAAAAGACAGATCAGGTCTAGTAATAGTCAAATAAATAAGTTTCCCAACCAGTCTTTTATATCTTTCTGGGTCTGAGAAAACTTCATCCTGTCCTGCCATTAACTTCAAATTTGGATCCATAGGACTGTCCACAGGTTTGCAATCAATCATATCTGTCTCTTTTAGAATATCTAGAGCATACTTCCTTTGAGAGATGACAATACCTTCTCTTGATTGAGCTACTTCAATACCCAAGAAATGTTTTAGATTTCCAAGATCCTTGGTCTGAAAATGACTACACAAGTGCTCTTTTAGCTGAAAATGACTACACTTAAATAAACATGTTTGCCAGGGGCAGTGTGACAATAAAACACTGAATGATCTGCTTCATTGCGTTTTAATCCAAAAGCTTGAACAATAGAGCTGAATTTTCCAAACCAAGCACGTGGAGACTGTTTTAGGCCATAGAGGGATTGACGTAATTTACAAACCAAACCAGACTCCCCCTGAGCAACAAATCCAGGAGGTTGCTCCATGTAAACTTCTTCTTCTAAGTCACCGTGCAAAAAAGCATTTTTAATATCCAATTGATGAAGAAGCCAATGACGAATGACGGCCATGGCAAGGAACAGACGGACAGTGGTTATTTTGGCTACAGGAAAAAAAATATCACAATACTCAAGTCCATATATTTGAGAGTACCCTTTAGCCACTACCTGGCTTTGAGACGATCAACCTGACCATTGGGCCCAACTTTAATAGCATAGATCCAACAACAACCAACTGTTTTCTTTCCCGAAGGGAGAAGAACAAGCTCCCATGTTTTGTTGTGATCAAGAGCCTGCATTTTAGAAATCATGGCTTGTTGCCATCCAGGATGATCAAGTGCTTCGACCACATTTTTGGGAATTGTAATAGAGGATACAAAGGAAATAAAAGAACAATAGGTAGGAGACAATCTATGATAACTAAGAACGAGTAGAACGAGTACCTTTGCGAATGACAATGGGCCAACTGAAGTCATCGTTATCAGGAGCTGTGGTATTAGAGGATGATGGAGAAGGACCTGTTATGGATGACTCATCTTGGGGAATGGGATTGTTCACCTGGTTTCTGCATTGATAGGTGATGGTAGGTTGTGATGATGATTTTAGAGTATTTTGGTTGGGATTTGGGGTGTCAGGAATAGGAGGTACAAATGATTCAATTAAGGGGACAGGAAAAACATTTTGGATAGAATCAATATCCTGCATAGAATAAGGGAAGAAGGAGGATGATTCAAAAAAGGTGACATTAGCAGACATGTAGTACCTCTTGATTTCAGGAGAATAACACCGATATCATTTTTGAAGACGAGAATACCCCAAGAAGACACATTTGATAGCTCTAGGTGAGAGTTTATCTAAGCCAGGAGACATATCATGAACAAAACATATACATCCAAATACCCTAGGAGAAACATGAAAAATTGGTTCCTTTGGAAATAGAATAGAGTGTGGAACTTTATTGTCAAGAGAAGAAGATGACATTCTATTAATGAGAAAACATGTAGTTAGAATAGCATCTCCCCAATGATGAATAGGCATATTAGCACCAAGCAATAAGGTACGTGCAGTTTCAACCAAATGTCTATTTTTTCGTTCTGCTATACCATTTTGCTGTGGTGTGTGAGGACACGTGGGCTGGTGTAAAATGCCTTGAGAATTTAGGACATTAGAAAAATCATTAGAAAAATACTCTTTGGCATTATCACTTCGTAAAACTTTGATTACTTTTTCAAATTGAGTTTTGATTTTATTAAGGAAATACTTAAAGATAGGCAATAGTTCAGAACGATCATTCATAAGATAAACCCAAGTACATCTAGAAAACCCATCAATAAAAGTAATAAAATATCTAAAACCAAAAGATGAAACACGACTAGGTCCCCATATGTCTGAATGAACAATACTAAAAGCAGAATCACATCTAGATTCAGAATGATTTGGAAAGGATGACCTAGTATGTTTCCCTAGTTGGCAGGATTCACATTCAAAAGTTTGAAGGTTCTGAAGTTCAGGAACCATTTTTTTCAATTTTGCTAAATGAGGATGCCCTAATCGCTCATGTAACAGTTTTGGGGATAAGGATGCAACACAAGATACAAATGATTTAGTCCTAAGGTAGTATAAGCCTCCTGATTCATGTCCTTCTCCAATCAGTCGACCCGATAACAAAACAATTGGCATTAAAAGGTTACTGAGCAATTCAATGATTTGGTTAATTGGCTTACAGAAACAAGACTGAATGGAAGAGAAGGAACACAAAGAACATTTTGAAGATTTAAAGAAGAAGAGATGGATACTTGACCAATTCCTTTAGAGGCTATTTTAGATCCATTAGCTAAAGATATGAGATGGGAGGTTTTAGGAAATGAAAGAGAGGAGAATAAAGAGGTATTACCAGACATGTGGTCTGAAGCACTTGAGTCAATAATCCACGGATTTTGACTTTCTACAGATTGCGAAATGCAAGCGGTTGACGAATTTGGTTTTGTAGATGCTTGAGCCAAATTGGTTGATTTCATCCTTAATTATTCTTGATACTCTTCATGAGAGAACTTGGGCTCATCAACTTCAGATTTTGAGGTATTAGTTGCCTTATCAGGAAAGTTGTGCAGAGCAAAACAATTTTCCTTAGTATGTCCCATTCTTTTGCAATGAGAGCACTGAGGATGTCCTTTCCCACCACGTCCTCTAGAGCTGTGATTACCTCTTCCACGAGTAGAAATCATGGTGGAAGAATAAGCAAGTTCCCTGACTATTTTTGCTTTTGATAGAAGGAACACGAAGTAGCCTTGTGATTAAACTCTCCGTAGAAGGAACTTCTTCTCCAGTTAGAATTTGGTCTCTAACATGATTAAACTCTGGATTCATAGCCCTAAGAATTATTACCATATAGAATTTATCCAGCTTCGTCTTTCTTTCCTCTAATGATTCTGCCTCCAGGAACATTTTTAATAATTCTTCAGCTGCTGATTGAGCTTCAGCAACAAAGGACATCATGGAATTATCCTCTTGCTTAAGGGAGGCTAGTCTATTAGCAGAATCATAGAGTCGTTGAATATCATTAGCAAAGATATTTTGAACCTTTTTTCAAAAAGAATTACATGTCTTGAAGGATCGAAGGGTGTTCAAAATATTTGGTTCAACAGATTGCCATAATAGTGCACAAAGTTGATAATCCAGTTTCTTCCATTGAGGAGCCTTATCTGCTGGTTTAGTACTTCCATCTTCTTCTAGATGATCATGAACTCCTTGACCTAGAAACCAGAGTTAACAGAGGAAGCCCAAGACAAATAATTTTTTCCATTTAATTTTTCTGTGGTTATAGTCGGAGTCCCAAAAAAAGATACAGATACAAGTCCTGACATTTTCCAGAAAACAAGAAAGGACCAACGTGCTGTCTATGGAAGCAGAGAGAGGACCGAGAGAGGCAGAGAGAAAAAACGCAGACCCACCACGTTTTGTGACAGAGAACACAAAACAAAGTGCAGATCTGGCACCAGGGCGACGAGGTGAGCCGGATAGAGGTGGTCTGGAGCAAAACAGCCACCGGGAGGGTGACGCGTGAGGCTCATGCGCGGAGGAAGCCGCGGACGAAGGTGGCGCGTGAGGCAGAGATGGAGGAAGCGATCACTGGGGTTGGGATGCGCTCCTCGAGGCGAGCCTAACCCAAGTGTCAGAGAGAGAAATGGCGCCGGAGAAATACTGCACCGGCAGCGGACGACGACGAACGGCGGTGAGCAGCGATTAGTGCCAGAAAATAAAGCCGAGACAAGCAGAGCGGGCCGCTCTGATACCAACTTGAAATAGAAAAAGGAAAATAAATGACTGATTTTGAGAGCCTGAAATCATCTTCTTGTGTTCTCTTATTTATAGGAGATAAAAATACAGATTCAGAGATACAATTAATAGAGAAAAATGATTAATCCTAGAAAAGATAAACAGATGCATTCTAGGAACTAGGTCTACAACTACTCTCATAAATGCCCAACAAGATACATTTAATCTAATAAATACTTCAACAACACTTTTTCATGGGTAGCCAGTGGGATGACGTTCTTGTTCAGTACAAGGTTATAAGATAGCATCGTAATTCTGCTAGTGTCTTGATACATTGGTTGCATATAATATTGACCGTGATAATTTAATAAATTGGAGACACGTTTTGATGGCTAACCAGTGGGACAAATTAGAGAGTACTCTGATTCTATGCAGATACTCTTAAATATTATTATAACTCTATTTGTGAAATCTAAAGTTATCATAGAATAAGTATATGACCTAATCCAATCCTAATGTAAAAGCCCAAGTAATTATGCTAAGTAAAAAAATCCTCAAATAAAAAATGTAAAAGTAAAGCCCCAAATAATATCTAATTAGAATTTAATCCAATCTGTCACTCACACTTGTTTTTGTTTGTTTATACAGATTATGAGAGAGACCCTTATTTATTTGTCGCATCTTGACCATGACGATACTGAAAAGCAGGTATGTGGATCAGAAATCCTGTAGTTGCTTTGCTGGGAAATACAATCATATTATTATTTCGTTTCCTCTTATCTGGTTTAATAGTTGTTATTGTTAGGAAATTCAATATTGTTTAATTAAATGTTAGCCTAACTTTCATTTACTGAATAGTAAAACCAGGGTATCTCAATTTTATTAAAATATAGTATTAATGGCTTAGATTCTTTAAATGAATAAGCTAATGATGTTACTCTTTAATTCTTTTGGCTTAGATTATAGGCTTCCTATAATACAATTGTTGTATGTTTTGGCTGATTTATTTGGCCTTTTTTTCAATGTCTGCGTGTAATGTCCAGATGCTGAGGAAATTAAGTAAACAGCTTAGTGGTGAGGATTGGACATGGAACAATTTAAATACACTCTGCTGGGCTATAGGTTCTATATCTGGTTCTATGATGGAAGAACAGGTATTGTACACTTCATGCTCTAGCTTAATTGATATTATGTTCCAGTATGCATTGGTCAATTTCAAAATCAAATGAGTTGTGCAATCCTTGAGTGTTTTTCTGTTGTTGGTTTTAACTTTTTTTTTTTAATATAAATTTTAGGTCTATAAATTCTCTGTTGGTTTAACTTATGCTCCAGTATGCATTGGTCAATTTCAAATTCAAATGAGTTGTGCAAACCTTGAGTTTTTTTCTGTTACAGCCTGTTTGTTCAAAATCAACGTATACTTTGTTGGTTTAACTTTTATCACAAATGTCATTGTGAAGCATACCCAATGATATTAAGTTTGTTAATTGTTATCATGTATCAGTTTTCACTTTTAGCTGTCTTAATTATCTTAAATTGTGAATTTGTCAGTCCGTGCACTTCAATTTGCTTCACGAATCCGTATCGTGTTAGATACTTCACTGATGAAGTATCCAAACTTATGAAGCATCAATACTTTTATTTGTTTCACGTATAATACTTTTGGATAATTTACCTGTATGTATATAAGTTAAATGTTCAAACTTTTAAATTGTTTATATTCAATAAAAATTTAAGAAACATATATGTATGTTTGTATAAAATAGAAAACATATTAATATTAATTTTCATAAACCAAAGAAAAAAATTGTTCTTATGAACTATTTTAAGAAATTAATGAGATATTGATAGTGTTATTTCTATATGTAAAGAACAAAATATTTTATAATGACAATTATTTATATTTTTTATTTTTACAAATTTTATAACTTTAATATGTAATAAATGTGATTTGAAATTTGGATTTGCATTATTGTTGTTTTATAGTTTTATGAATTTTTGTACATTTTTAAATACGTATCTTATACATATTGTATCTTACTTTTTTTCTAAAATAAGTGTATCGTCGTATCGGATACGACACGAATTTGATACGACACGAATTTGATACTCGTATTGTATTAATACGCGTCATAGTCAATATGTATCAAATTCATATTGTTTTTTTTTCTGAGATTGATGCATGATATCCCTTTCTGAACCAATTTAATTTCTTAACTATCTCTGTATTCTTCTATAGCATTCTTTTATTAGTTTCGATTTTTTTCTTCTCTATTTATATTTAAGTTTTCCTGAATCTTTTACAGGAAAACAGATTTTTGGTTATGGTCATTCGTGATTTATTAAACCTATGTGAAATCACGAAGGGAAAAGATAACAAAGCTGTTATTGCGAGTAATATCATGTAAGAAAGTTCCATATGCCATTATGTTGTGTTTTTTCTTGTTTAGTACTGCATTTATTTTTTATTATATGTTTTTTTGGCAGGTATGTAGTGGGCCAGTATCCAAGGTTTTTAAGAGCTCATTGGAAATTCCTTAAAACTGTTGTGAATAAGTTGTTTGAGTTTATGCATGAGACCCATCCTGGAGTTCAGGTAATTTTTTCTACTTTGAAGAGTATTTTTTTTTTACTTCTGCTAGCACATTATTTCTTCTAATATAACGGATGGTTTGGTAAAATATAATCTTGATCTAAGCTAACTACTAGTAGTTGTTATGTTTTTTATGTTTGTGTGGGTTTTCAATTGTTAAAGCTTAACTTGAATTTTGCATGATTATCTATATATCTTTGCTGCTTGAAATTCCTTGACATTTAAATATTAATCATGTTTCTTTATGATTCAGGATATGGCCTGTGACACATTTCTGAAAATAGTCCAGAAGTGCAAGCGCAAATTTGTGATCACGCAGGTAATAGGCTGCAAAATTATCCATTTCTTAACTTTTGACTCCAAAAAAAAGTAGCCATTGTATAACTTCAGGACATGCGATAGTTCCCAACTTACAATCTTACGTATAACTTCAGTACATGAGTTAGTCCATAACTGGCAAAATGATTGCTATTTCAGGTTGGGGAAAATGAACCATTTGTGTCTGAGCTTCTGACAGGCCTTCCCAACACCATTATGGATCTTGAACCCCATCAAATACATTCTTTCTATGAATCTGTATGCTTTTAGATCCCTTTGATCTTAAGTTTATTGGTTATATATATATATATATATATATATATATATATATATATATATATATATATATATATATATATATATATATGTATTCGTGTTTGCATATACTTAGGTTATATTCTTGTTTTGCAGGTTGGTCACATGATTCAGGCAGAGTCTGATGCACAAAAGAGAGATGAATATCTTCAGCGGTTGATGGAGCTCCCAAATCAGGTCCTTTGCTAAATCATTCTATGCAGGAATCTGATTTTTTCTTCTGTCAACCAAAATATTATAATGGCTGTGATTTCCCTCTTTTCTGCAGAAATGGATGGAAATTATAGGGCAGGCGCATCAAAATGTTGAATTTTTAAAGGATCAGGATGTAATTCGGACAGTGCTTAATATATTGCAGGTATAACTTTGAGATCATCATATAATTTTAGTGTGACTCTGCTGTATGTTCTTTAGTTTGCTCTCTCCATTCTATTTAAGCAATGGGAATTTAAAAGGTTTATTTATTATTATATGGCATGTTGATTCAGTGATGAAAAATCTTCAATTAAGTTTTTTTGTTGATATTTGCTTAGCAAATGGCCAGTTTCTCTCTTCCTTGTCTTGTAGGAAGCACTGTCATCTCTCTAGAATAGTGTGTACTATGTTGATGTAGGAAGTTAATAAGGAAGCATCGTGGCAGGCAGTCAGTTTAATTATTGTAATTCTGTTATTATGTAGTCATAGTTAGTTGGTACAGTGCACCGCTATGAATAAGCAAGCTCTAAATCGAGCTCATTAATTCTGAATTTCAATCAAACAATTCTTGTAATCTTTCTATCTCAATTCAATACTACTCTTCAGATTCTATTCTCCCATTGGAATCCCAAAGTTCTGTAGTTTTTTGAATAATTCCTATTCCTAGTTCTACCTTCATCATATTTTCAACACTATTTGGACAACACTTGTCGGACATCCATGTCCATTACTCCTCAACTTTGTCACAATTGATTTTTTTTTTCCTCAAATACTTAACACATGCTGGACAACTCATCTTGACCAGAATGTTGGCTGTCTTGTTCACAATCTGTCTTTTTAGGTTTCTACTAATTTAGTTTTGTTGGTTAATTGTTTATGCTTTTAAATTTATGATGAATCCCAGGTGCTACCCTGTTTTTAGTTATTTTCTTACTTTGTGCTAGTGTTATGATTTTAACCCTTCAATTTCAGACGAGTACAAGTGTTGCATGTTCTTTGGGGACATATTTCTTGCCCCAAATCTCGATGATTTTTTTGGACATGTTGAACGTGTACAGGTGAGTTTTAGTTTTTTAAATTCATGGGCACTAATAACAAAATTGATACTCAGCAATAAATAGTTTGAGAAATTTTTTTACTGAATCATTTTTCTATTCCTGCAACAGAATGTATAGCGAGCTTATTTCAAAAAGTATTACAGAAGGGGGACCTTTTGCATCTAGAACATCCTACGTGAAACTTCTTCGGTAAGATTAATCAAAGAAAGATGTATTGGTTTTGTTCAATGCGATTACTATCCATGTTTAACCTTTATCTTGATGCAGTTCGGTGAAGAGGGAGACACTTAAGCTGATTGAGACATTCTTGGATAAGGCAGAAGACCAACCACAAATTGGTAAACAATTTGTGCCTCCAATGATGGATCCTGTTCTTGGAGATTATGCAAGGAATGTTCCTGACGCAAGGGAATCAGAGGTCTTGTCACTTTTTGCCACAATAGTGAATAAGTATGCTTTTCTTCCAGTTTCCTTTATCATATTGATTGGTTGTATGTATATGTTCTGTTACTTCCTAAGGATAGAGTGGTGATTTCTTTGCTATTTTAGATATGATCAGCATGTGTCATTCATCTCTCTGTCTCTCTTCCAGATATAAATCTGCAATGATTGAAGATGTACCTCGCATATTTGAAGCTGTCTTTCAGTGCACACTTGAGGTAATTGTGTAGGATATTCATCTATGAAATAAATGTGCTTGTTTATTACTATCTGTATTTGAGTCCCATGTATTTGATAATTAGCTTCCATCATTTCTAATTTAAATAGCTTTCTTTTCCAAAACAATATAATGTTATTTTATTTTGGACCTGTGTGTACAGGCATGCAGAGTACTAGTAAAGAGAGTAGATTAGATGGAGCGTAGTGTAATCATTAAAGGTGGATGTAGAGAAAAATTATTAGATAAGATTTATTTGTCAGTGAGTGGTTTGTTTATAGACATGATCCACTATAGAACCCTGGTGATGTTTCGTCCAGATACCTAACCTGACCAATGGGAGAAGGCAGGGGTGGTTATTTTAAATGCACAATGTCGAAGTCTTGTATAGGATACATCATAAAACGTGTAATTACCAACCATTGTTGGGTATCTGCAGAGTACGCTGAATAATCATGTTTTTTCTTTTTATTCTGTTCCACAGATGATTACCAAAAATTTCGAAGATTACCCAGAGCATCGCCTCAAGTTCTTCTCTCTACTTCGAGCCATAGCTACTCATTGTTTTCCTGCATTAATCTGCTTGTCAAGTCAGGTTGTGTTATGTGCTCCATCCCTGCGTACATCACATCAATCACGTTAGCTTTTTTGGTTATCTATTTTTGTTGACTAAGACTGTGTTATCAAATTTTTTAATCTTGTAGTCTCCCTCATGTTATTTTAATTTGTGTGCCAGCAATTGAAGCTTGTTATGGACTCTATCATATGGGCTTTTCGACACACTGAAAGAAATATTGCTGAAACTGGGTTGAACCTGTTACTGGAGATGCTTAAGAAGTTTCAGGTATGGTATTTACTAATTATTTTGTCTACTCCCATATCCTTCTGAGGTTCTTTCTCCATACTAATTTTATTTGTTTGTATGCAATTTTTTCATTTGGGAGGATTTCTTACACTTCCCCTATTCTCTTTATAATAAAATTTATTTTTTCATTCACGCTAAAAGTAATCTTGTTCTGGTTCATTCAGTGCTGGTGTAGATCTTTGCTTTTTTATATATATTTTTTGGTTTAATGTCCGTGTTTATAACAGGGCTCAGAGTTCTGCAATCAGTTCTATCGGACATACTTTTTGACAATTGAACAAGAGATATTTGCCGTCTTGACTGATACTTTTCATAAGCCCGGTTTCAAATTACATGTCTTGGTGCTTCAGCATTTGTTCTGTTTGGTACGGTGTCATAATCCTTATTTGTTTTTTGCTTGTTTGGAAGAAATAACAAAATTAACGAGCTGTACCATTTTCAGCTGGAAACTGGTGTCCTAACTGAACCTCTTTGGGATGTTGCTACTAGTCCATATCCATACTCGAGTAATTCTGTGTTTGTACGTGAGTTTACCATAAAACTTCTAAGTACTTCATTTCCCAACATGACCACAGCAGAGGTAAATGTAGAGAAATAGGTAGTATTTGTGTCCTTACCAAAAACAAATTACTGACATGAAGAAATTTGCAGGTTACTCAATTTGTTAATGGACTCTTTGAGTCTACCAATGATCTATCAACATTTAAAGATCATATACGAGATTTCCTTATTCAGTCCAAAGAATTTTCAGCTCAGGTATTGCCTTTTTTAATTTTATTCCTTACATTGTGCTAATGGTAGGAGTTTTCATTTACATTAATGTTGCAAATTTTGAAGTCCGTCTCTCTTTGATTTGAATTAGTTCTTTTGATTGAGAGAAATGATTTAGGTGGAAAGACAGTGTAAAATGATACATTACTTTTATATTTATATATGGGAGAGAATACAAAAAGAGGTTTGACCTTACCCTAACCTAGGAACAGACATAAGAAAAATTGAAAATAAAACATATCTTAACACTTCCTCTCAAACTTGAGCATATAGATTACCTTGAGCATATAGATTGTATGTTCCAAGCTTGGAACATATAAACTTAATCCTAGGTCTTCTTAGAAATGTAGTTAAAATGCCTACAAGTTGTTCACCAGAGCTCACAAACTTCTCTCACATATCACAATACAACTTCATCTTATCATTATCACAAGATATCAAGTCTTGTAGGAGTTATTTAGTCTACACAAGCTCACACATAACAAGGGTCATAGATTTATATTTAGCTTTTGCACTAGATCGAGCAACAACACTTTATTTCTTACTTTTCCAAGAAATCATATTCCCTCCCATAAATACACAATACTCAATAGTAGATATTTTTTATCAATGGGACAATCAACCCAATATGCTCACAGAATCCTAAGATGTTATTACCTTTGTTTTCATACACCAATCCTTGGCCTGGAGCCCTTCTTACATATCTGAGAATGCGAATCAAGGCATTCTAGTGATCAACGCTCGAGTTTTGCATGAATTAACTAACCATTCCAATTGTATAAGAGTGATTCAATAACTGTGAGATAGATGAGTTTTCCCACCAACCTCTTATATTTCTCTAGATTTGAGAAAATTTCACCTTTGTCTCCCATTAATGGGCTTGCAATTTGCCAAACCTATCTCCTTCAAAATATCAAAAGAGCATTTCCTTTGAGAGATAATAACACCTTCCTTTGACTGAGCCACTTTAACACCAAAAAAATACTTCTAATAACAAAGTTCTTTGGTCTAAAAGTGACCAAGCAAATGCTTCTTCAATTAAATAAACTTAGTGTAGTCATTGCCTATAATAACCATATCAACATAAACCATAAGATAAACATATTTCTTAGAAGAAGTATGACAATAAAACACTGAATAGTCTGTCATCCACGTCCTCCTCAATCATTGTGTCCTCCCTCAACCATGAGGTAAAACCATTGTTGAGGTTTCAATAGCTTCAACCTGACTCTTATCCTTCATCAAATTGGTACACAAATATCTCTAGTGACTAAGCTATCCATTGGAAAAAACCTAGTCACCAGTCAAGATTTGATCATGCACTAGAAACCTCTTCACTTCTTCCACTGTAGGCCTAGCCTTTGCAACATGAGATACCAAATTGTGGTTAATTTATTTGTGAGAAGTTGCCCTTTGTGTTGAATCAAAGAGACGCCGAATATCATATCATTGGCAAAGATATATAGTCCTTTTTTCCAAAAGGAAGAGCAAGTCTTGAAGAACCTTAGAATTTCTAGAACTTTCGGTTTTACTGACTGGCATTAAATGGCATAGAGTTGAAAGCCTATCATCTACCATTGAGGTATTTCAAAATCAGAAATGGAACTAGCTTCAGTTTCCAAATGCAAATGATACCCTTGACCTAAGAACCATAACTCCACATGGGCAGACCAAGATGAATGATTTTTCAAGAGCTTGGCACTACTAATAGTAAGAGTGGCTGAAAAAGAAGAAGAGCTGACTTTTAGGCATCTTAGACTGAAAATAAAAGAAAGGAAAACCCTAAACAAAAAGAGAGGAGCATGGGACCCTGTCCTTAAGTACCTCAAATCAGAGAAGTAAAGGCAGCAACAGAGGCTCAATGCACCGATGAGACAATGACGCGACTTAATTCCATTCACTAGAAGGCTGTGTGTGGGACTCACCCGCCTAAGGTAGAGTGTGCTTCTACCTACACATGAAGTAGAGGATGATGTTGCGATTTGCAAGGTTGAGTTGCGTACTTTGAGATGCACCAAAGCCTAGCTTCAGCAGTCTGAATGACAAGTGCAATGGATGGTGGCCTTAGATGGTGAGAAAGGACTGTGACAGAAAATAGATGCAGGATCTTGCCCACTTTGATATACCAACTTGAGAGATATGTTTAAGGAGAAAAGACAGTGTAAAAAGGAACTGTTATATTTATCTCTGAGGGAGAATACAAAAAGAGATTGGGCTTTAGCTCAAACCCTTAACCTAAACCTAGGAACATACATTAGAACAATTGAAAATAAAACATATCTTAACACTTGTAATGACTTTGTGGATTCGCTTTTTGCTTGCTTATTGGTAAAATTATCTATAGTTTTGGTTTGCGTTTTATGTGCTCACTAAAAAGTTTTGGACTTTCCCTTGAGAATTTCTGAAACTGAAATTTTTTAAGAAGCTTTTATATATAAACTTTGTTTAGCACCCATAAATTTTCCATTTTTTTAATCTGTGAATAAACTAAGTTTTACTTGTGTGATAGTTAATTTCGTTTAATTCTTTGTATTTTTCTCTTCTAATAGTTCTTGATAAAAGTTCGTTCAAACAGACCCAATCTCGGGATGTTGACATTTCAAACCTGAGGTTAACCAATTGTCCTTTCTGCTGCTCTTTCTTCTGCAGGATAACAAAGATCTATATGCTGAAGAGGCTGCGGCTCAGAGAGAGAGAGAACGGCAAAGAATGCTTTCTATTCCAGGGCTTATTGCTCCGAGCGAGTTGCAAGATGAAATGGTGGACTCGTAGATATGCTAGATAGTGTCGGAGTTAGTAGTAATACGGTGGGCATTTTAACTTGTTTCACAGGCTTTGATTCAATGCATTGCCAGGTACTTTGAGAAGAGATGCAGCGCTTTCCTCCAACTTTTGTGTTTCCCCTCTTCCAATATTTTAAATTGGGACTGGTTTGGCAGTTCCTGAATTCAAAGTTTTCGCTGACCGGGGGATACTGCCTTGTTGATGGGTGAGTGTAGATTATTCAATTACTAATTGGGGATGATAATATTCTGTCATTTGTAAGGGATTCATGAAGGTATACATCTTTATATAGAATCGCGGATGGAAGACTCATTCTGAGTGTTGATGACTCCTTAGGTGTGACCTCCTAACCTCGGGCGGTTTGTGCAGAAAACCCTTGTGGTTTGATATTTTGTATTTTTTCACTCACCAATTAATTTTTAGGGATATTGATGTACCATGAGTGCACTTAATATATGGTTTCATGAATTAGTGTGTTATATGATGTGTTCATTTCCTCCCAATGGAGAGAAGATATTTTTTCTATACTAGTCTTTCAATATACATTGTTGAACGTAACTTATGTCCGGTCATGTTTATTCTTTTTTATACAAAGGCTAGAAATGATGAATTGAGAAAAAAAGGTAGATAATGAATATATTTCATTGTGGAAGAATGCTTGGTATTTTTTGTTTCATTTTACGTTCGTTAGGTTCACATTTATTTATTTAGGGAAGAAAAAAAGGAACGCTAGATGCTTGATGCTTCTTGGGAACAAAATGTAAATATTTGCATATATTTATATATATAGTTGCGTTTAATACAGACTTTGGCAATGTAAGTGGTTGGTGGGTGTGTCAGAAGTGTTTTATGAGAGTGAGGTACATAATTAAGAATGCTAATGCGGAGGGCGTTATTTTGGATAAGTGGGATTGGTTTGTGCTTTATAATATGCAATCTACATACTTCTTCAATTTATTTTTAACTTAGTAATTTTGTTATAAAAATGTTTTTTCTCATGATTTATAATATTATTATATTATATGATCACAACATGTATAAAATACTCAATGCTCACTCCCATTTGTATAATATTAGAATTAAGGGGATTTTGAAATGATTAAACTCAATTCTCCATTTCAAAAAATTGGCTAGAAATGAGTAATATTAGTTAAAAATACGTTCTCTTTTTTTTTTTCCTATTATTTCTATGGATTGTTTTCAGTCAAACTCTTTTTTTTTTTTCACTCCCACATTTGCATGTTTACCTTTCTCTTTGTTATTGCTCATGATTTTTTCTTCTCTTCATCTTCTATATATTTTTCATTTTCTTTGTTTTCACGGTCTCCCTTGTCTGTTTCTTGTTTAATGTCAATCTTTATATTTTATTAAATATTATTTTATATTATTAAATATTTCAAATTACTTACTAATTAATTTCTATCATCAAACATTTGTTTTTTAATATAGTAAAAACTAAGTTATTCTATTTAAATCAATAACTAAACATTTGAAAAGATAACAAAAAGTAAATAAAAATAATTCAATTTAATAGTTAAAATTTTATCTTAATGTTATTAGAATAAACTGGGATATTAATCTCATTTGGGGATTTTTGACAATGAAGAAGGCGATTGGATCAAGGGTACTTTTGGTAGTTGCAATTTTGTGTAAAATCCGAGTGCTGAACTTGTTGGTATTTAGAAGGGTGTAGGTAGCTGTTGTCATCTAGACATTATTTTACTCCATCTTTTATGAGTGTGGAAGTTATATATATATATATATATAAACATTAATACGTTTTACATTTATGATGCGTATCGATTAAATTATTTAAAATAACATATAAAACAGAAAATCTATTTTATTGTTTAATTTTTAGAAAATAAAAAACTGAAAACTTAGTTTTATTTACCACATATTATTGTATTTATATTTTACACTTACTCTCGTTAGATTTTGCGAAGAAATATTGAAATACGAACTTATTTTTATTAGACAGATTTTTTTCTTATCTACTATGTTATACTTTTACAAATATTCGTAAATTTTGAGTAATATTGTTATTTTTTATCTAAATTTAATAGACATATATTATTCATATCAACAAGTTAGATTTTCAATAAATTTTAGTACACTATTTTTAAAATAAATATTATGACAATCTTTACACATATTCTGCGTTTTTTATTTTGTTTATTAACACTGAACCAAAATGCTTATTATATGCGAATAATTTTCTTCGAAATGTTACATTTTTCATTTGATTTGCATTATGATTATTGATTTGTGAATTTGTTGCTGAAAATCAAAGTGAAGCTGGGGGAAGGAATCGCCCATAGAAATCCTTTCCCTGTTTCTCCGATTAGATTCGAAGGTTCACGTTCATCCATTACACATCGATTCTGTGGATTCTCGATTTGATCGCACTGAACAGAACAGAACAGAGGCATGGGTCAAGCTTTTCGAAAGCTCTTCGATACCTTCTTCGCCAATACCGAGATGAGGGTCTCAACCTTTTTGTTTTTGTTTTTTTTTGTTTTTTTTAATATCAATAATTATTAGTAAACAAATTAATAATGCATGTCATTCTTGGTGAGTTCGTTTTTATTTCAATTATTTGTTTTTGAATAGTTTGCCTTTACAGTCAGCTATCTTAATGATTAATTAATAAAGGAAGATGATGCAATTCTTGATCATTACTACTTGTGTTGCTTAGTCTCACCCATCTTCTAATAGTTGATTCTTAATTTTTGCATGAGTTTCGGTATTTACCCTTTCTTTAACATTTGTTGGGTTTAGGTTGTGATGCTTGGTCTCGATGCTGCTGGCAAAACGACTATACTGTACAAGCTCCACATTGGAGAAGTTCTATCTACTGTTCCTACAATTGGTGATTTTTATTCTATAAATACATTATTTAGTTATTTTAAGCAGATTTCTTGGTATGAACTAATTAAACCATTTCTGTCTAATCATGTGCTTGTCAATTATCTACTTGTTTTTTGTTTCTGTATCTGTTTGAATTTGTTAGTAATGTATGGATTTTTGCTTCTTAGTTGACATTGTTAAGTGTAATGGAAGTCTTTTTGTTAAAGGAGATGGATTTAGTGGAAACTAGAAACATATTTGGTTCTCTTGACTGGTAGGACAAATATCTATTAGCACTGGATGTGTGTGAACTGACTAGATCCAAACTTTTACCAGTATAACACTTTAGTTTAGCATGAGAAAAATTAGAAAGAAAAAAACTATATGTTTTTGTTTAAGGCTTATGTATTTCTACTGTTTTGCAGGTTTTAATGTGGAGAAGGTTCAGTACAAGAATGTTGTTTTCACAGTTTGGGATGTTGGAGGGCAAGAGAAACTAAGGGCACTTTGGAGGCACTATTTTAACAACACTGATGGTTTGGTAGGAATAAGTTTTCATGATTTTTTGCGTTTTGTCTTGATGAAAATACAACTTGTGCAATTCGGATCTTAGAATTTTTCCTTCTGTTGCAACCATTCATCTAACCAATTGAACCGAAAAGAAAGGACACAGGTCTATAGTTGTCAGACTGATAAATATGTGCATATTTATGCAGATATATGTTGTTGATAGTCTGGACCGTGAAAGGTTAGGGAAAGCTAAGCAGGAATTTCAGGTGATTAAATAAAAAATATGCACACATATCATGCTATTCCAAACGGTTTTCTAATAATTTATGGATTACGTGCAGACAATCATAAATGATCCGTTTATGCTCCACAGTGTCATACTGGTGTTTGCTAACAAACAGGACCTGGTATGCCTTCATTACTTCATCATCTGTGGTTTTTCCGCTGAACGAGCTATAACATTAGAGGTTATCCTTATGAGTAACATGAAACCATGGTCAAATAATGTGAATTGATTGACACTGTTTACTACTGAATATGTGCAAGAGTTGTTAGTGTGCGATTATTAATGCATACGATTGTAACAATAGTGCTGATAAGTTTTAAGTTACAAAATCATTAAAATAGTTAAAATAGGCAACTGTCAGGAGGAATCAAGTGCAGTAGAACTGAGAAAATTGTTTACAAGCTATTTACAGACAGTAGCCTTCACTATTATTATATGTAACCATTATTAGATGATTGTGCGACATACTTAATTTGCAGTACGATTAACTGATATGTTGGTTGGATCATATGAGAATATGTAAAAATGTGGTTGAGTGCTGTTCCCTTCATCGGTCCAACTAACAAAAACTTTTAGTAATAAAAAAGTTATTTTTTATTTAGAAAACACTTTGCATGGAGGTTAGGCAAAGTAATTTATTAAAATTGTAGTGGAAACGTAATTCACTTGGAGCTAGTTGACAGAAGGGGCTACCTCATTATCTATTTTCTTACCAAATGAGTTAACATAATACTATCTTGTATTTAACTTTCCAGCTAAGCCACTCCACGCTGTTGCATCCCATTATGGGAACATTCCAAGTCAAGTTTGATTTTACAACTGTATCTAAAGTGATTTTTCTTCATCTTGTTTGACTTTGTTTATGTTGTCTAAGTTGGAAAGGGCGAAACTTAACTATAGACTATGTTTGCCCAACTTTTATGACTCAAACTACTTTAAGGTTAAAGCTAAAAAATCATAGCCTAAAAAATTTGGCAGTGAGAGACAATGATTTTGGTGGGAATTCTTGAAAGCGTACAACATAATTGATTATGTTGTGTTGGATTACTTTTATTTTTCTCTTTTGTACTTCTATTTTTTTAAAATTAAACACGGTTAATTTTCATTCTATTTCTCACCTGTCCATTTCCTTTTACTTTATTTTCCTCCTCTCTACCAAACACTCTGAAAGAGAAGAAAACCTAGAAAAAGTTTAGGTCAAACATTAACTCAGAATATTTCAATCTCTGCAGTTTCAAATCAAAAGGGAGGTTAGTATTAATTTTGTTAATGTTCAGAGTGCTCAGGAAAATAACCAAAAAAGTGTGGTTGAACAGAAATCTTTGTCTAGTTTCTGGGTAACATTTTCTAGTAACAAGTGTTTTGTTTTCTTCTTGTTTGTTCATAATTTAGTACCAGTAATTTTTATTTTTTTTCACTTTTTTTTTTCGGGGGGGGGATTTGTGACTATTTTTAAGATAAATTCTTGCATGTGTACCACTTGGATACTTTTGCATGATTGCACAGTTTTCATTCCCAATACGTGCACATTTTCTTCTAATGGAACTTGTCTATCTTTCAAAAGAAATCTTCACTTTATATGGTTATCAAATAATGGCAGTGGCAGACCATTCCTTCTGAACAACAAACTAATCCCCTCCAACCAATTTACGTAGTTTTGCATTATTATCAGTCTAGTTATATTAGTTGTTAATAATTTCCTTTCTTTTCCAGAGAGGAGCAATGTCACCAAGGGAAGTATGTGAAGGATTAGGTCTTTTTGATCTCAAGAATAGAAAGTGGCACATACAAGGCACTTGTGCTCTTCGGGGAGATGGTCTTTATGAGGGCTTGGATTGGCTGTCCACAACTCTGAAGGAGAGAAAAGCTGCCGGATACTCTTCAATCGGACTAGGAACTTCATCCTTCTAATTTTCAAGGTTTGGATTGTCAGCTTATTTCAATCATTAACTACCTTCCTATTTATCATTCCATTACATTATGTGTATTCTTTACTGCAGATGTATTTTGGCCTCGGGATGACTTTGTAGAGTGTGTGGCCGTATGATGTGAGTGATAATCAATTATTTGGTTTACAGCTGAAGCTCTGATGAGTATGAAGCTGTTTCGTCTTTCAGGGTGCTTAAGATATATCACTTACTCCAATTATACAATTTGTGCATGAGGAATGTTTAACTAAATTCTTTTGGCATATTCTACTAGATCACTTGTTCATTCTCCCTCCATTTCCTCGTCTCACTCTTCCTAGTATTTCTGTGTGCTGTGTCTTTCATGATTTTGACTAATCCAATTTCATCCGCTGGTTCCAATACCTTCTTTCTTTCTTTTTTCTTTTAATTTGTTCATTATTATTGAAATATATTTTAATATTTGAAAATCGTTATTATTAATGCGTTTGTTCCATGTCATACCACAACAACAAAATATCTTTTCTCTCTCTCTCTCTCTCTCTCTCTCTCTCTCTATATATATATATATATATATATATATATATATATATATATATATATTTATTTATTTGTGGGTGTGTCTCAAATACATTTTAGTGAATAAATTAAGTGATTTTTAGTATTTTGTATAACAAATTGGTAAAACAATAATATGATTTTAATATTAAAATTATTTATAAAAATTGTAAAAAATAAATTTTTTGTCAATCCCAATTTTAAAAGCGTGACTAATAATATATTTAACTCAATAAATCTTAATTTTTTAATCTATAGATATTTCACATTTTTTTTCTCCAATTTTAGTAAGTGGCACCCTCATATTAAGTCTCTTAAAAAAATTCTGAATATATTCCTATTCCTTTAGGTTAAATTACTTTTTTTTTTTTCATGTTTAGTTATTGAATTTATTTTTAAATCAGAAATATTGATCAAGATTAAAATATGAAAACTATGTGATCGTTTACGACCATTCATTAACGACACCTATATAGTTTAACAAATGTGGAAAAAAAAATGGTTACGCAGAGAATAGGAAAGATAATAAAGTTCAGGAAGACAAAAAAAATACAGAAAGATAATATAAGGAATAATATGAAGGCGAAATATTAAAATACGACGTTTAGATGAAATAGCACAGGACATAAAAAGAAAAGAAAAATAGCAAAGACCTGTTAAGCGTTTTTGACATTTACAAAACGTTGAAAAAAAAATAAGGATTGAGTGAAAAGATGAAAAAATAAAATAAAATTCACTATGTTCTAGTAATATATAGGTTTAAACTGAAGGCCAAAGTTATATCCAAATTAAAGTTACACAAATCTGCATTGTTTTTTTCACATTTGGTAATGCACAGATACATTCAAGAGATAAGCACCACTCAACTAAAACTATTACATAACTCCATCTATCTCTCTGCATACAAATTCAAATACAACATTAAGTCTAAAATTTGTACTACCAACAGGCTGTGGCAGAGTGATATGAACAACACAGAATCACCATCTTTCATCCTCTATCCAATTATTTTTTTCTTTTGGCCCAGTGGGACCTTCCTCACCATAAAGTTCAACCGGGAACTTGTTAAATAAGTTCTTCACAGGATATTTAAGAATGCCAGGAAGAGCATTGATTACCTTATCCAACTCAGTCTTTGAATCATAAACAATTTTGGGGCCCCATTCTCTCATAAACTGCAACCATTGAGGCTCAGTGACATCTTTTTCAAGATACTCAGCTGCAACAAGCTCATAGTGAATACTAGAATCCACATACCAATTACTGCGAGCAGCATCATTCCTAATGCCAATCCCAAGTTTTGAAGAACCTTGGATATAGGTCCCAGGATGAGGGTAACTTGCATGTCCACATTTTGATGAGTAAACAATAGCTTTATTGCCTTCAATATATTCCAAGTCACAGGGATCCACCCATTCACCACCACTGTGCTGTGAGAAGTATATGCTATACAGCTCTCCACTGAAGTTGCTTATGCGAAGTGTAAAATGCTCCCAGTCACCAACATGCTCTCCAATCTTGCTCAAAGGAATATCCTTAATTCCAATTTTCAGAGTGGCTGGTCCATTGAAAGGGCAAAACACCCACATTGCAATGTCAGTAAAAGTTCCTCCAACAGCTGGCTTCACATGAACATAAAGCTTTGCACTCTTCAAGTCCCCACGTTTCACAAAATCCTTTTTATCATCTGTTGGCAAGTCTATCCAAAACTGGCCATCATTTGTTCCCCCACATGGTAGACTTGAGCCACATGCATCAATTCGCTCTCCTTCCGATACACCCTTTGTGTACAACAATGCTCCATTGCTGAAAAACCATTCCACAGAAGATGGTAAGTAAATTTCCTGAGGATGAAAGAAAATAGTAGGGCCATAATGCTTGATAAGTGCGTGTATTTGTTGCAAATTTGGCATTGCTTGTGATGCAGGATTTTGGTTCTTCAAGCATGCAACAGGTACCTCTTCTCTCATTGTCCAGCCACTGCTGCAGAAAAAGGTCCCAACACAAACTCCTTTCCCTACCATGCCACGGTCACAAGGTCTCAAACTCCATACCTGAAATGAAAACTCCGGAATTCTAGAGCCAACAGTGAGTATTTGGCGGTAAGGTTCACATTTATAAGTGAGGTCTGTACGAACACACCACATTTCATTCAATAAAGGTTTGCCAGGTTTGGTAGTAACCAAATAGCCAAGGGCCTTGTACCCTTCAGGAGGTTCAGGTAGCCAGAAGTATACACCTGAAATTTCCATACTTCCTGCATTTTCATTCCAAACCAACTTAAAATCAAGGGGATTCTTCAGAGGAGGTAACTTATCTTGATTGTCAATATCAGCAGTTTCAACTTTCCTAGCAACAAGTACAAAACCCCTTAGAGGCTTGTCATTGGGTTGACAATAGTGACCAAGAATCTGAAAACTATCAGGTACTCCCACAGGCCTATAGAATGTAAGACCTTTTTTAGTATCTACCATATCACTGCTACTCCAAATAAACTCAAACCTAGTCACCTTGGAAACCTGTATTTCACCAAGATTTACAAGGCCGGAAGCAAAACCTTGTCCTGTAATGAAATATACAAAATAAAGTGTTCATAGGTAAGTTTCTTCTCCATAAAGTTATGTGGCATTGAAACTGCAATGTCACGCAAGCACAACATTCTCATCTTTTTTTTCTTGAATAAGATATCACACCAATCTAACAGGGTAAAATTGTTACTTTCAACTATAAACTTACAGCAAATCATTCCTAAAAATATTCAGATTTGATGAATATGTAAATCATGCTATACCGAGCGCACTGCATTTTTATTCACATTAAGTCTCATCAAACATGTAATGGGAAAAGTGCAGAAATGATAATCCGTAAAGAAATGAAAGTAAAAGAAATTCATTTCATCTGCATACATAGCAAGAGAGACAAATATGTATTTATTTGCATAAAGGGTGACAAAAAATGCATACTAGCTCTTAGAAGGCTAAATAATAATGCATATTCCTATCATGAAATTTTTGGTGATATTAAGGAAAAGCCTCATAAAATTCACACCTTGAGGCCATTGAGGGATTGGAGACGGAAGAGAAAAGGTTTGAAGGGAAGACGATTGAGCCGTTGCATTTGAATTCGAACGAAAGCACTTGGAGCCACCCATATCTGCGTAAATCGCAGGTGCAGAGTTTTGTTTATGTTCTTGCATATTTCCACCAAATGTTATTGTTCCAAATAAATTCACAGATTTTACGATGCACTCTGCATGCGTCTTAGGTATTCTATATTGTCATCAACACCTTCCCTTCCATCCTTTGAAGATTCATCAACAATAATGCATAGTGCAAGAATTTTTTGCACCCACCAAAAAACATGGCTCTTCCATTGAAAGGGATAGGTGGTGCATGAGAATATTAAGAATAAAAGTTTTGATTTTGATATAGCAGATTTCTTCCTCAATGAAACGAAGAAGCAAGCTCAATTTTGATCAATTTTGTTGGAACTTTATTATGAACATAATTTCATTTTTAACTTGTTTAAATTATCGTTTCATTGTGTGGATATTTTTTGGTAATGAAAACAAAAAGTATTCTCTATATTCCCGAAAGAGAGAGAGATTCTTTTATTAATTTATATTTTAAATAGTTTAAACATTAAAAACATAAATATTTCATTTTATTCTGTTTGTTCGTCTTTTCCAGTCTAACTCTTTCAACCTCACAGACTCCCTTATACTTCAAAATTTTCTATATTATTAGAAGAGGAAGAAAAAACACGTAACCAAATTGTTAGAACTTTTTTTTATTTTAAATTGAACCTTTTTAGTGAAGAAAATTCTGCAGTTTTTATTTGTGCTTTAACTTTTTATTTTATTTTATGAATGTGTGCAACTTCATTTTCTTTCCATCAATAAAATATATATATATATATATATATATTATTTTAAGATTATTTATTAGATGTTTGAAAAATGTTGGATGTGAAATTATTTATTTGTCATTCATTTCACTTCTAATACACTTCACATGTACTTATAAAATTCATTTACAATTTTAAAAATGCAGTTTCCTTATTAGCCAATTTTGTCCAAAAATATTATAGGCACAGCGAAAAGCAAACATAGGTGTGAGCACTACTTCAAATAAAAGAAAATACTCATATATCTTTAATACATGCTTATAAACTCCATTTTCAAATTAAAAGAAAGGATCAATTTAGACTTAAGGTTGAGAAATTATCAATCAAGTCCTTCAATTAGTAAAGATAAATTTTTATACTGATAAAAGACTGTTTTATGATTAAATTATAATATTATAGATTAACATGAAATTTTTAATATTGTAATATTTAGTCAAAATGCTATTTGGACATAATTGAAACAGGAAGTACCAAACTCTAAAGTGCGTACCATTGGGGAAGAGGTTTGATGCATCGGAAAAAAAAAATCCATAACAATGGCGAGTTCTTGCAACCAGTAAAATTACAAGAAAACTTAGTAAAGAGACCAAACACAGCTATAGTGTAGGGACACCAAACCAAAGGTTTGGTCCTGCATATAATATCAAAAAGATTTATTTGGAAGAGTGCAAAACTCCTAGTTGACTATAATTATTCAGGCATCAATCCGATTCTGTGGCAGTACCTGCAGTGCTGTTCTTTTCTTATCCACTTCCTGCGCATGTTAAGATTGAAGAAGGTTAGGTTACAAAGAAATCAAACATAAAAACAGGACACCAAGAAATCAAACAAAAAACAGGAACGGGTCCTAACCTTAACAATATCAGTCTTGTTGCAGTTAGATTTTTCACCATCTAGCATTAAAATCTTCAGCCGCCTCCGCAGTTCCGCAATACTCATATTATTTAGATCATCAGAGGGCACATTTTCCTTCAACGGGTCAGAAACAGCTGATTGAACCGGAACATCGGACGTCATATTTTCCGAAGAGAATATGACGGTATCATGGTTTGGAATGGCAGTGACTTGTTCGGAAACAACCTCACCATCAACAGGTACGTTGGATTTGCAACTCAGCTCCCCGTCTAATGCACCTGAAGCTGATTCAACTGAAACCTGCTGATGAACAAGAGGGACTTGAGGAGTACACATTCTATCAGCTCCCAACATAACTTCATGTCCTGCTACAGGATCCTCAGATTCTTCGGCTAGTGGCTCAGCTTCCAAGTTCACAGATTCTTCGGGTTGTCCGTTTGCAGAAGATTCAGTGCAGATATCAGTAACATCAGGAGCTTTATCTGTCCCTGCTTCCATCTGCTCTGGTTTATTTTCTTTCACTTCTTCTTGGAGCTCACCAGGAAAATTAGAAATTGACTCGAACTCAAGAACCCCTTCTGAACCGAGCGTCATCAAGTCACTTTCATTAGCAGCTTTCTCATCAACATTAAGAGGACATTGGTTATCTTCATCTGTCACGTTGCGACAAGCCAGATTCAAATGTTCAGTTTCATCCTTTATTTCTTGGTTATCATCAACCTTATTGGTGACTTGACTATCACCAGTGATGCACTCAACAGATTCATTTATGTCCGCTGGATCATCGCAAACAGGTGACATAGGAAGGGAGGCAGGTACATCCTCATCAGAAACATCATCCGCCAGCACAACAGTCAGAGTTGAGGCATCTTGGCAAGTAAACTCCTCAATTCTTTCCTCACGTACAGATGACACTTCATCAGATCCTGCAAACCGATCAATAAAGATCAACACTTAAATGGTCTTGCTGAAGTATACTACATCGATGTACAATTACTAACCACCCTAATTAGCAACTTTTACAAAGAGCAAAAACAAACCTTGATCATCAGATTTATCATATGACTCAGAACTTTCTTCTATTTCCAAAGTTAAATATTCATCGTCCTCTTCTGGCTCATTGCTCTTAACTTCCTTATCATCCATGTGCTCAACTAATACATCTTGATCATTGTTATTATCTTCTTGATCACCGCCCTTATTCCTGACTTGGTCATCCATCTTGCAGTCAGCTATCATAGGAAGCGAACCAGCAACTGCTTTAACAGTAACATCCACAGAAACGTTATCAGGTACCATATCTGCGATTTCTTGGCCAGTAACCTCCATAATAGCATCGGTGAAGGGCTCGGAATGAAAACTTTCTCGGCGGGCTCCAACGCATTCCTTATTTTCAGTTTCTAGTTCAGAAGAATCACAAGTTTCCTCCAGAACAGGGAACGGCTCAGATCCTGAAAAGTGACCAAATATCACACTCAAATCACTTCACTGATGCAGTCACGCACACATTCTACATTGTAGAACTAACCACAATAATAAACAACTATTAGAAGGAAAAATAAACCTGCTTCATCTGAAGCATTAGGTTCAGCCTCCAACTCCAAGAAGTTAATTTTCTCCCGTTCAGCTTCATCTGAACCCTGTGGTTCAACAACCGTGTCATTTTCTGTCACAGACACTAATTTCATATCTGAAACAGAATCGTGTGATTGGCATTCATATACAGTATTTAGATCAAAAGAGCAAACTTCCAACTCCTGAGTATCCATAGCCGAATCGATCTGCAAACTAGATCCTGCATCAATCATTCTCAAAAATTAGTTGATGAAAAACAAAAACCATTAAAGAATACAAATATTCACAAGAGAGATCCATCATACCCTTTTCAGTATCACACGAGTCTTCTACTTGGTGAGAGATATTACTCAATTCTTGAGAAACGTCATCATCAATTTTGACAGATCCAGTGTCTTCAGTGTCAATCAAACCCATCTTAGACATGTCCTTCTCCAACAATCTAACTGACCTCCTCGTGCCATATGTTCTCTGCACTGAAGTACCGCCGGTGTTCTCAATCTTCTTGGTGGAGCGAACTGACCGACCAGTAGCTCTTCTCCTACTGACGGAAGCTGCAACAGGTGTTTTAGGCACATCCAAAGGCTGTCCTTCAACCCCCTTCTTATCACCATCTTCTTCTACCATCTCAACCTCTTTCTTTCTGCGAGTAGACACAGCAGTAGCCCTTCTCACACTGACGGCAGGTGTGCCTGGTGGGACATTCGCATCTTTGTTCTTTTGCTCCACCACTCCTTGTCCAGCTCCAGCCCCACGTAGAGGCCTGGCAGAGACCGAGACCTTCACATTTGAACCTTCAGCTTCTGCTCTCGGTGCTTTCCTTTGAGTCGAGGCTCTACCAGCCATACGGATATTAACATTTGGGGTTCCAGCATCACCCTCGATCGGATTTAAAATCTCATCCAATCCTTCAACCTGAAATGAATCAATTAAAAAAAATTAAACCCTAATTTAAAAAAATAAAACCCAGCTCACAATTCCAAACAAGAACCTCCGTCTTTGTGAATCACAAGGAACGTAGAATGAATAAAACAGTAACAACACGTGACAACAATCAGCATTTCATATGCAGATCGGAGCAGTAAAGAAAAACAAAGGAGAAATGAAAAAAATGGAAGAACAAAAGACGGAAATGTTTACTTTATCCATAGCAGTGAGATTTTCAGCCATGGCAACGTTGGTGATGTTAGCGGGAATCTTGTTCTTCTTGCAGAGGGCCTGAAGCTGCTTCCTTGAAAGGGTGTAGAAATCCATTGATGAGAGAAGGAAAGAAACAAAACAAGGTGTTTTGGGTGATTGAAGATGCGAGAGTGTGTGAGAGAGACAACACAAGCGAGTGAAGAGCGTCAGAATGAGTGGGGGTATTTATATGTACAATGTCAAGGGTTGCTCCGGGGACATGACGTTAGAGAATATGACCGTTAGAGCTTCCTTTTCAAATTTGAATTTTTGGGCCTGGGCCTGGGGCAAGTGTTAAATTGGTAAGTTGGTACATTCCCTCTGCTCAAATATATTCACGCAACAAAATCAACAACCTATTGAAATCTTCAACACAATATTGGTATGAATTTCTTAAAATAATTTTTCAGATTAATCATCAAAAATCTATGCTATTCCGAACTTTTTTCCTCATTTCCTAATGTAGAGAAAATATTTGTAATACAACTTTTTATGTCTATTTTACGTAGTACTTTGTAATTAATTTAAAAAATCATAAGTTCAAACTATCAGCCTTTTTTTAATCTATACCTTTCCGCATGAACTTTTAATCTTTATTCCTAAAGTAAATAAAATAAGAATAATTAAATAGGAAAAATTGTAATTTTGGACATTTTTTATTTTTTTTATTTATGTTTGTGATTCTTCAGCTTTTTTTTCCATCATTTTAATTCTTAGATTTAAAGAATATGTAATTTAAATACATCTTAAATTTGTATACTTTTAAAAAAGATGTTTATATCAATTTTGCATATGCAAAATTAAAAAAGACCAAAAATTGTAATTTAACCAATTAAGAATATTTTTATATCATAATTTAAATCATTTATTGCAAATCAAAAGGCACAGTTTATATATTTTAAGATGTTTTCTTATTATAACTCTAATTATAATATAATTAAAATGTAAGAATTACATATTATAAAATCTATATTGAAAATATTTTTAAACAATATAATAAATAGTATATATGATTTAGAATAATAGTTTTGTATTTAATATTTAAAAGGCAACTTGCAATCTCAGGTAGAAAAATAATAATACTATTGAAAACGAACATTGGCTTCATAATATATTAATTATATATTATTTAATACTATAATTAAAAATACAAAAGTATTTGCACGGATATTCGTGGATAAAAATTATAGTGAGTACTTATTTAGTTTATTAGTCGACACTGTCTACATAAAATTATATAAATATTCTTATATTACATTATTAAATTAATATTTTATTAAAAAATTATATTAATAAACTTTTTCTCTTAGATTTATCAAAATAAAGAGGATTAAAATAAGGTTGTTGAAGAAAGAAAAAAAAAGTAAAATCATATTCAAAATCGTGACTTGTTCGGATTAAAATCGTGCCAAAGGACTTTATCCAAATTCGTATTTTTATTCCAATGAGTTATTTTAGTAATTAAAAAATAAAATGCACCAAAACAATGTTTTTGCCTCAAACCAAATAACTGTTGGTCTAAAAATACAAGCTATACACTTCCTAATGAAGTTGCATATCTAATCTCTTGCAAAACCATTCCTCCCATTATCACAAATCTTTCAACTAAGATGAAACACATTTGATGGCCCAAGATGTTGCCAGGAGATGCATAAAAAATGATACACTTCATAGTTAAAAAGCAACCAATTCGCGTGGCACCTACTACCATAATCAAGGATGCCAAAGTTCATGAACAAGTTTGTGAATTTAATTAATTTGGAGCACAAATTAAAAGCAGATCTACAGTGAGATATTCAACTTCATGCCACCAATACAAGTATTGCATCCAAGAGTTACTACAACATAGAAACTTTGTTCTGTTTTAAAATGCTAAGAATGTCTAGCTCCAATGATTACCAAACCGGGGATTAAAGCACTCTGAAATGACCAAGGTCCACGATGTCCCCGTAGCATTTGGAGCTAACCCAAGTGAAAGCATCCAAGTCTTTTATAGCTCATCACAGTTTACGGGTTTAAAGATGCACAGTAACCATGAAGCTTATGCATTATTAGCATTAGGTTCAGAATTGGTTTCTGATGATTTTTCGCCATCAAAAGCTTCCATATCAATGGTCATATCATCACCCACATCAGCCTCAGTCATTACTTCGTCTTTATCAGACACCAGAGGCTCAATGCCATTCTGCGCAGTATCAGATTGCTTATTCTGCTTTTCATTTGCCTTCTCTTGGTCAACTGGCTCTTTTTCAGTAGCTTGCGGGTATGGATCAGTGCAGATTGTCAATGTAGATGTAACTAATAAGTTCTACAGAAAACACCATAAAGACATAAGCCAAGTAAATTGTTTTATTTTTATCTATAACTTAAGTCGCAATCAACAAAATGAATGATTAACCATTTATAAAATAAACGATATTATGCAGTTGTTAATTCGAAACAAAATATCATAATTAGTACACATGCTAAATTGTATTGCATACCTTTTCAAGAGCTAATGCAAGCTTTGAAAGGTTTGGATAAATGCTTTTTGCATCCAATAGGATCTGTTCAATGTAATTTAAGACTAAGTAACATTAGATATTACGATGCTTGCATGTGAAAATGACAGTAATAAAGCCCGAATATAATAACACATAGCAGACAAAAGAAACGGGTGTACCTCACAAAGCCTTTGCAACGTAAATGGAGGGCCTTCGATGAAACAAGTAAGCGCTGGAATCCATAAATAAAAGCATATCAAAATATTTTAGAGCTTTATACCCCCCAAATAATATCAACAAAAAGTTTAATAGAGCAAGTAAATAATAACAGCTTAAACATTTAAAGAATCTAAGCAGCAATGAGAAATCAAAATATGCAAAGAGAAGAAATGATCTTGTTATTAAAATTGAATTTGGACGGGTTTACTCTATGAAACTTGCTATCCAAAAGCATTGCTCAAGCAGCTAAATGCCCATCGCATTGGAGACTATATAATTATGACATTGAATAATTTAGATCAAAGGGGTTTAAACCAGAGAATTTCAATCCAATGCTCAATGAAACTGATGCTATTGCTTAGAAGTTTCTCTCAGGGGTACCCTTCTAAACCTTTTGGTTTCTTTATGAGGGAATTAATCCCCAGATAGACATGCAGACAAAATGACAGTCAAAATTATTAAAGAATTTAACACGTGATTTTAAATAATTGGCATTATCTGTTAACATTGAGGATTCTCTTGATAAGATTTTGTCAAACAACATATTCTATGCAAGGAAAGAAAAGCCTTAATATTAATCTTTTGTATATATCAACTTGTTTGTAGATAACCATTATTACACATACAGAAATATATTGTACGCATGCTTGTAACTATGGCAATGGTTTGACAACTAGACTGCACTGACTAGTCAGTCCAGTTCAAACATGAGATGGTCTGGTCAAGTCTAAAATTAGTAAACAGAGAACAGACAGACAAACTAGACAAACTGTTTGAGTTGGTCTCAGTCATACAGCTTGAACCAGTTCAAAGCTCATCTACCATAAAATGCACAAAAAGGGAGAAGTGAGTACCAAACATGTAACCCATAGCTTTGAATAAGAAACTTCAACTACTAGACCATTGATACTGAGTTTAACAGTTACTAGAATATCTACTCCCAAAATTATTTTGTCAACAATCTTACAAATTCTTGTCACAAGTAATTTGAATGCTTTAAAAATATTTCCACATATTAATAGAATGGTATTGTAATAATTTTCAATATAGAAATAGCAAAATTAAATTCACCTAATTAATGATACTCAACAAAATAGTGACATTTCTAGTTCATGGTTAGACGAGAGACACTATTGTTTCACTGAATGGTTTGGACTTCAGACGGGATACCTTCATCTAATTTACTGACCAACTCAATGTAGGATTCTCCCAACGATGCATACTGCTGTTCACTAGTCAATTTTGCCTCAGGGTACTCTGACAGTACCTGTATAACAATTTCAAATACGGAAAAGAAGGCTAAATATCAGTGTAAGAACTACGATATATGAATAATAAAATTTCAGCAAACAGTTTTATGAACAGAGACAAAAAATAAAAAACTGACATGCTAGCATACATACCCCTAAGAATCAATAAAATATACATAAAAATGCATGCTAGCATACCTCCCCATACCTGCTTCAGCTGAAAGGATAGCATACTCTTCAACTTATCCCAGTCATGCCTGTTATTCAAAAATTTCATCACATTAGTCTTTTAAATACAGATCCATTTCCAAGTCAACTATCAGTAAGTTTAGCCATAGAAATCAATCCCAGATAGCCATGCATGCAATCGATCCCCAGAAGCATTAAATTCAACAACATTATAATACACATATGAATGCTCAAAAATCAAGATTACCAAGGAGTTAGAGGATAAAGTCCACAATGATTCTTTAGCAACAAATCCGGCGACTAAGAGAATAACACTGTAGACTGAACTTAAAACACACACACAAACATATATATTAAATAAATAAATAAAGGATATAAAAAAGTCAGTGCCAAGACAATTAAATTAAACGGGTGTATACAATTGGGATTTCGAAAGGGTTTTTTACATAAGAAAGTAATATAGATTTTCAAAGATTTTGTATGAATATAATGATTTTTCAAAAGACTTATATGATTAGAATTTTGTAATTTCGATTTTAAAGGGAATATAAAATATCAAATCATAAGATTTGAAAGTATTTAATGGATTGACAAGAATTTAAAATATTTCATAAATTAAAAAAAAATTATGAGAATTATGTATCTTTACCTTTTACAGGGAAATACATCTATACCTATTATCCTATTCTGCAAAATTAGGTAAATCAACATGTATTTTAGTGGTAACGAGTACAATTCAATACGGTGCTTGCATCAACCCATCTCAACACCCACATTTCAGCACTACAATCCTTCCACCCATTTCTTTAGCAATTGATAAAAAAAAAAAAAACACTCATTTGATGGAGTTTTTAGCAATTTGTTACTTTTAAGATAAAAAATAGAAATAATTGACAAATTTTTTCTATTAATATTTTTAATTCTTCTTTGTTGTTTTCCATAAAATTCTTAATAGTTGCATTTTCAACTCGTTGACCATAAACAGAGAGGACTAATTTGCAATTGCAAACAGAGAGGACTAATCAGACACTTCCGTAAATTAAAAGATCCGTAAGGATAGTTGAACCTAGATCATAAAGTAACTCATTCTCACAGACTAGTGACAGGCAAGACGGTTTTTCATGAAAAAACATGGTGCACACGTGCAGTCTAAGGAACCAAAAGGCACACCTAAGCTGCAGAGATGACGTGCTAGAACAAGTCAGCACTTTCATACGATCTTTCAGGGTCCAGCAAGACACATATTTAGCATCTTATTTGATAACAATTCTCAACTCTCAGCCATCTAGTTTCCACACTAACGCCAAAGGACTAAAATAGTCAAATGGTTATAAGAATAATTAATTGAGTCCATGGGATGCAATTCTTAGTAGAGAAAATCTTAATGTTTTCCGGCTCGAGCATCTTATCTTTTGTGTTTACTACAAAAGTTACAGCTGAGTAATAAAAATCTATACAATTAATGCAAAATAGTAAAATTGCTCTTTTCTTTCATTTGCTTTCAGGGCACCTTTGGCCTCAAAGTGTTCAGAGTTAAAACCCCAAAGTACATAACACACTGCTGTCTTTGACTAAAGAAATCCCCTGTATATTATCTACTAACATGTTTGGTTGTGTCGTATCACATCTTACACGCATCTTAACAGAATTTACAGTCTGCAGCTTCAGCGTTATTTCCATATTCAACGTGTATTATTATTCTTGGCGTGTGCCCAAACATACGCCACAAGAAATAACAAATCCAATCCAAACAATCTGAAAACCAACACACTACCAAGTCCCTAGCAGGAACGATAAACTGCATCATGTGAATAACAAGTCCAAGGGGAAAAAATATACACAACACCGTTCCTATCTATCATATCATATCAATATGAACGAGATGCCAGAGCACAAAAGTCGGTACTCAAATAAGTCATACCAGAACTTCCCAGTAGACGCAATAACTTGCAGAATCTGCCCAACTTCTTCCCTCGGAACATCTTGTTTCTGCTCAGGGTCTCTACAGAACCAAAAATCACTGAATTAGGTATATCAGTGTCTTCGCAAACAGGAGAGAGTGAAATTGCAATCACCTGTGGTTCGAGGCGTCATCATTGTGGGCGTCGATCGAAGAAACCGGTGGTTGCTGTAAAACCTCATGCGGTTGCGTCTCCATGAAATGAAACTAGAATAAATCGCGAAAATTATGAATTCCATCGCCGAAATTTGAAACGGTGAAAGTGCGTTGGAATTGATACGGTGGGAGAGAAAGATACATACCGATAGTGTGACTTTGACTAGATTCAAAAAATGTAAAGCGGCGTGGTGAAGTGGAGTTAGATGAGAGGTTTGAGAATATCGCTGTACGTTTGCAGCCTCCGTCGCCGTCAGCGGAGGAACTGCGTCGGGTCTGTGTGAGATTGATGGGCTCTACTTATTTGTATTGGACCAGTGGACTCGCTTCCTCTTGGGCCTTCCTTAAGAAATGCTTCTGCACACCAATAATTTCTTATACACCGCATAATATATTTAAAATGTTAAAAATGTCTTTGAGACTTGTTCCCTCTTCCACACATCCTTTGTTCTACACTTTCATTCAACATCATTTTATTTTAAAGATATAAATTTATTCGTGATTTATTTTTTAAATCGTACACTATGTCATGCATTCAAACACATCATTTTTATTTTAAGGATTCAGTAGAGAAAAGCAATTAAAGATGATAGAAGAAGGAAATTTAGATCCAATTCGTGAAGAACACTGAAGAAGAATGAACACATACATGGAAGATTGAGATGCAATCAAGGAGAGAGAGTCATGGTGCAGTGGAGAGAACAACTGAGAGAATTCTGATCGATTTGATTGAATCTGATCTTGAAAACTTTGACTATATGTTATTACATTAAGTTAATCTACTATATACTTCAACTAATGTACAATTACAACTTACAAGGCCCATAACCGGACCTAATCCAATAAGATGTTGAAGAGTCGCGCTGCCTTCGTTTCAGTGCAGTACCGCGCGATTCGAATGCTTGCAGTTTTCTCAATTCTTCTTCAAATGAAACGATTCCGGTCTCATTAGAAAGCTTGTTAAGTTATCTTTCAAACGCCACCGTTTTCATTATTTTTAGATGTCTATAGAATTTATGATAATTATTTTACTGAGGCATGCCCGGTGGACCGACTCTGTGCGCATAACCTCCCTTAAATAATTTAAATAAAATTTAATTTAGCTCCGAATTGAGTGTTTCTTGATCCTCTGGAAATATGAATTTGTCTAGCTTTCAATGCTTCAAGAATCATGATTTTAGGATCTCTGTAGAAACAATGATAAATAAAACAGTAAATTAATATCAGTACCCCGTATACAATAAAATACAGCTAATTTATTGTTTTTATGCAGAATTTTATATTAAGGCTTCTAAAGGCCTAATAATACAAATTATAGTTAATTAAGCTTTATTAACATATTATAAACAATAATATAACATTATTAACTACTTAAGATGTGCTGAAAATCATTCACATCATGAGTCAACCCACCTAACCCACCAATACATAGTGGGTTAAACCAAGTTGTAAAATTTGTTGGCTCGCCATGAAGTGAGTCGAGTTGAGTTCATTTATTTTCTACTTAACCAATGGTGAGTTAATTCGTGTGAGCTGGATTTGCTCACTTTGATACCCTTTTTGTGACATGACTGAAATGTGACATACATTGTGATACAACTAAAACACGGTGATGCGGCAAACACAATAAATATGTTGGCTTATGTATGTAGGGGTATCAATATTAGTTGTAACCCATGAGCCAATTCGGCCTACAATAGTTCGAGCCGGGTTGGGTTCATTTTTTATAAATTCTACCTATAATGAGTTAAAAATGAACTCAACTCACTTAGCCCACATGTTAAGTTGTTTTGAGCCAAGTTTTGACTCCACATAAAGTGGGTCATGTTCAGCTTGCCTATCTTCTGCTCGACCCATGGTGAGCCAAAAATACAAACACAAACAAACACAAACACAAACACAATCATAAATAAACATAAACAAACACACACACAAACACAATCACAAACATAAACGCAAACCCAAACAAAAACACAAATACAAACACACACAAACACAATCACAGACAAACACAAACACACACACAAAAACACACACATAAACACAAGCACAAACACAAATACAAACGCAAACACAATAGGATGACAGTGGAAGTATAGACACATTAATAAGTATTGGTAGAATATGATCATACCTGCATTAGGATGTACACGTGAACCTCCATAAGACAAATACAAGCACAAAAGGATGATAGTGGAAGTATTGACACATTAATAAGTATTAGTCGAATAGGATCATACCTGCAATAGGATGTACACGTGCACTTACATAAGACAAACATAATACGATGACAATGGAAGTCTAGACACATTAATAAGTATTGGTAGAATAGGATCATATTTGCAACAGGATGTACACATGCACTTGCATAAGACAAACCCAAACAGAAAGATTGGGGTGTGTGAAAATCTACTTCAAAACTTTTGCATATAATTTACATGAATTGTTACCTATGCTCCTCATTTGTTTATACATTGAAGGCTACAATTACTCTGTAATATAATGGTCAGTTTTTGAAACTAATTTTAAAAGTTTATTGTATGGGAGAGTAAATATGATGACCTCAGAATTTTTCAAATATTTTCTTTCAGTACGGCTAATCCCCTATTGATTATTGAACGCAATATAAAACCATGGGGAACTGGAGAGTAGATAAAAAGTTGAAGAATTATAAAAACCATGGGTACATACATATATATCCTAAGCTTTTTTATCACATGGTGGTTGAAAAATTTTGCTTCTGAGCAAAGTAAACTATCAATTTTTTTATTCCTTTTACTTGAACGCCATCAAAACACACTAGATATGGCTGTTGTTATATCCTATTTTAAAATCATCCAGGAATGAATAGAAGCTTGTGGATTTCTCTGTGGATTATTGAATGCCAAAGCACAACTCTCTGCCTGCACTTGTACTGTTTCTACTACTAGTGTAACTGTTATTACTTACTAATGAATGTCCTTTTACCTTGCCAAGTTTAATCTGGCAATAGCCAAATCCCTATTTTCTTTTTAGTTATTGATTATTGATTTTGAACCTGTCTTTATTTTACCTTTTCAGCAAATAGTTGCCTCTGTTCATATGTGTGTGATCATTGTAGTAAGAAAAAATCATTCATATTAATTTAATTGGAGTTCTAATAATAGTATCATGGACTTAGGAATGTTGATCTTTGTCTTTCATGCTAATTCAACAATATTTGCATAAAATCTAAACTTTATTGACCGTGCTTTCTAAATGCTCCTTTCCCTGGATAACTTTATCATCGTTGCAAAGCACTGTCATCACTTACTTTTTCTAGAACCAGTGTAAACATTTCCTGTTTATATTGGTAACTAATTATAAGTTAAATATTGCAGAGTGGCAAGTCATCAACTGTATATGCTTGTGCCAAAGAACAAGGGTTTAGTATTTTAGAGGTATCACAGTTTATGAATATATTTTTAAATTTATGCTTATAAATTGATATACTTTGTAGTAATAATATTCATCGATTGACCCCATGGTATTGTAAATAGCCACCTTAAAATTTTATAAGCATTACTGAAGATCAAGTACAGTGATTGTTTAGCCGGATTTAAATATAGCCTCTGTCTTCCCTGAAATTTGAATTTTTGGTCTTTCCTGTTTAATGGGAAAATTGATTAGGTGAAAGATTGCTATTTTTGGTTTAAAACATTGAGAAAGTATGGTAGAAACACTTACTCGTATGCCCAGTTGCTAATCTGGGATTTTCATACAAAGTTCTTGAGAAACAGATGTGCCCAATATATTTATTCCCCTCAAACATCTATCAACATTATGTTTTCTATTAAAACATCTACTAGTTGTCAAAGAAGAATAAAACATTTATTCTTCTTGTCATATATCTTTCTTTTCAACCATGAATATGGCCAAACTTAATTATTGTTCATGTTATCTAAACAGCTCAATTCATCACATTCTAGAAATGGGACTGCTATCAGGAACTTGGAAGAACCTCTTACTTCAATTGGGTTCCATAGGTTTGCTAACTTGTTCTATCAATGCTAGCTGATAACTTCCAATCTTCTGTGTCTGAGTAATTTTAACTAACTGTAATGGTCTTGCATTTACTTTCACTTTCCTGTAATATTTTGTTGGATTACTTGAGTGTTATATTTTTTTGAGGGGCAATTCAAATTTCTCAGGAAATCAAAGGTCTTTTGAACATGGAAGTGTATATTCCCTTGTTTGACTTTTATATAATAAACAATACTTTATGCCAGATTGCAGGAAGCAATCTATCTTAAGTTGGAGATCCAAGAGTATAGTAATGTGATTATCCAATGGGTGAGAGCCAGAATAAAATTTTGATCTTAAAAAGGTCTTTTTATAACTTCCTTATTGTAAGCTAACTCAACCTAATCTTCCTGTGGGTGGCATAGCTGGCCAATCAGATCGAGGTGCACAATCTGTTGTTCTTTCTGGTGGTTATGTGGATGACGAGGATCATGGAGAATGGTTTCTCTACACTGGAAGGTGTAACAACCAACAATTTTTCTACAATTCTCATTCTCACTCAATCCTGTTCATGCTTTATTCACTCTTGGCTTGGCTTGGCATTGCATTGCAGCGGTGATAAGGATCTTAGCGGCAACAAACGTACCAACAAGAGTCACTCTTTTGACCAGAAGTTTGAGAAGTACAACCGTGCACTTCACGTTAGTTGTCTCCAGGGTTATCCTGTTCGGGTTGTCAGGTCACCATCTGCTTCACTTAATTCTATTCTTTTACACTCCAATTTTTGCATGCGCTCCATACATAACATCATATTATACATATTGTACCTGGAAATCCTTTACGCATTCTTTGACACCATGTGTCCATCAAACTGTTCTCTGAATTTTTGTTCTGGTTCAATTTGAAAAATTAAATCTATCTGTTACTTCTTATTTATTGAACAGGTAATTCGGAATCCAAAGGATTTATTCCTCATGATTTAGATCAAATTTCATTAAATTGCACATGCAAATTTGCAAAGTTTGAGATATGAATATCGATCCCATACTTATTTATGAACTTACTTGTCCGCCCGACCGATCGTTGGTTCTTATACATAGCAAATTTTGGTTGAATTTGTGTTATATTATTACTATCATGTATATGACCAGTTTGCTCGATTAAATGCAAGTTTTCATTAAATCAACATTAATAATTCACACTGTGCTATCTTTATACATAACCTCTAATAAGCAGATCTCACATCTTTGTACATTAACCTCTAACAAGCAGATCTCAAAAAGAAAAGCGATCTTCATATGCCCCAGAGATTGGCGTGCGGTATGATGGAATTTATAGAATTGAAAAGTGTTGGCAGATAGCGGGATTGCAGGTAAATATGTGCAATTTTATGATATATTTTGTTTGCCTATTAATACATGCAGCGTATCTGATGCCATTTCTCTAACCAGGGTTTCAAAGTTTGCCGGTATCTATTCGTTAGGTGTGATAATGAACCCGCCCCTTAGACAAGGTATACACTCTTCTACTCTGTAGCACATTTCACACTAAAACGCCGCTTGGCATTCTATTACTAAGTTTCTTTAATGGAATCACAGTGATGATGTTGGAGATAGGCCCAGAGCCTTGCCGGTCATTCGTGAACTGAAAAAGGCTACAGTTATATATGAAAGGACTGAATCTGCATCTTGGGATTATGATGTGAGTAATTAAGGAGTTCGTTTTCCTTTTTCAAATATCTAAAATATAGTTTAGAATTTTAATATATTTAATATTTAATGAGTAAACGACTTGTTTAGGCGAAAGATTGTCGTTGGAAATGGATGAAACCACCACCTCCCAGCAGCAAAAAGGTACAAATTGAAGAACCCGTAGAGGTAACAAGGGCAAAGACAGATAGCGATATAAGGAAGTTCCAACTTAATTCTATCAAGGAACAATTGCATAAAGGTATATTACTGATATATTTTACAATGATTGACAATGGACCTTCCAATTAAATGGTCAGTTCTCTTGATGATTTCCATTAATACTTTCTTGTGATACCATTTTTCTTGTACATGCAGGGTTCTCGTGCATGATATGTAAGGAAGTTATGGTTTCACCAGTGACTACACCTTATGCTCATAACTTCTGCAAGTCCTGTTTGGAAGGTGAATTTGCTGGTCAGGCTTTTGTGAAGGAGAGAAGTAGGGGTGGGAGAACGCTTCGTTCCCAGAAAAATGTGATGAAATGTCCTTCCTGCCCTATTGACATTTCTGATTATCTTCAGAACATTCAGGTACATGTGTCACATATCTGGGATCAACATTAGCATGATGCTTTTTCTTAAGTCTCAGAACACAGCTTAATCTATGGTTGATAAATTCGTTTTGTCTGGTGGTGCACTTGTATGGCAGGTTGATATAGATTTGAAGAGTGCGATTGAGTCACTGAAAGCCAAGGTAGAAGAAATTGAAGAATCACTGGAATCAAGTGAAGATGCAGCAGATGGATTTCAGGACAACGGTGTTGGCAAGGATGACGATACTGATTCAGGGAACCAAAATTCTGTAGAGCAGTTGAATGATCTACCGGAAGGATCTGATGTCGATGAGCTTAAAGACACCAATACTAAGGGGCAAGATTGAGAAGTAATGTGCAATGGAAAGAGAAAGAAAGGTGCTGATGAAACACAATCGCCTGATGATAAAATGGAAGAAAGAGTTAAAAGAAACAGAAAGACCAGCAGTCGCTGATAAAAATGATTCTTCATCAAGTCCTCTCAATCTTCCATGAAATTGTGGTGGACCGAGGAGTTTTAACAACTTGACCTTCACCTGGTTCGATTATGACATGGTAGTATCTTTATTTTGCTTTATTAGCGCTTGATGGTTCAGTACTAGTCTTGGAAGTGTGCTACAAGGAAAAATTAACATTTTTCTATTTAATTCACTTTCTTAGTTTGTAATCACCATTGTCTGTTCATGGTTTTATGGGAAATGGAACTGTCCAAGACCTTAAGAAAAACGAGTTTAATCAAAGATCCTTTTTTTGGATCAAGTATGTGGAGTTTTTATGGCAGTTATCTCTATAGCTTTTGCCTTTTATTGTTTCATACCTGTAAATGATGTATTAGTTGATCAACCTCAGAGACGAGTATATCAGGTGGTAATTAGCCTGATAATATTTAAGAAAAATTGATCAATTTGGGGAGATTTCTTAACCCAAAATAGGTGTTTAGGTATTGGACTAATCAAGTTGCTGTAACATAGATGAAGTTCCTTTTAGTTTGTTCTTTCGTGCCGGGCAATTAATGGGTACTAACCCCTTCTCTCGTACACAAATAAAGAATGAACCCCTTTATAGTATACATGAGCCAACAGAAATGAAAATATTACGGCCTTTTTTATTTTAGGATCAATCTGATTTTTAATTCTGATTACAGAGGTGTACAAATCTTTCATGTCATTTGCTTGTGCAGTCATTGGGAAAATTGCAGAATTTGGTGCCTTGAAAGATGGTCATATATATGTGGGAATGAAATCAGGATAAGCAGAAATCGGCACATTTGTAATCTTCAAAATAGCCACACTAGTCAAATTCACATAATGTTCACTTTATCTTCTACAGATTAGGTTATGGCGATAGGCATAGGCTGTTAAGTCGTTTACTTGAAGTACAGGGAGCAGATTCTATCACATTTTGGTTCTTCAAAATGATATATTATGCTTAATTTACTATTTTTCTTTGCAAAACATTCTTCAAAAGTTCTAACCTTTATTAAGCATATAATGTGGGCTATACAAATTTAGCATATAATTAACACAAAAATGTCATGTTCAGTTAAGCACATAAAGTTGAGGTGGTCACCAGATATATGGTTAAGCCAATAGTAAAACATGACTAAATGTCTATCATAATTAACCACATAATCTGAAGGAGGTAAACATATACATTGCATATAAACAAAACTGGTCATTGACAATTAATGATATATGTTGGAGTCAATAAAATTAGCATGTACATACATGAAACTGCCATGTCTCTAAATATTTGAAGAAGTTGTCGCTCGAGCGAGAATTGCTTTAGCGAGTGTTGACCGCAATCTAAATGTGCAACACAGTTACTCACATAATATAACCTGGGTCACCACATATTTCAATAACGTGTCACTTGAGCGAGACTTTAGTCGCTCCAGCAAAACAGAACTCGAGAATATATATTGTATGCTGCCTGGATTTTGTTAGATTAATTTGAAATATACCCTGAAATTGTGGTGTATCAGGTACAAATTATGAGAAAAAAAATTGGAATTTCAAAATTTAAATAATTTTTTTTTTAGATTGGGACTTTAGATAGCGGTTCCCAGAACCGCTATCTAAACATACTAAAGAGAGCGGTTCTAGAACTAACCGCTATTAAAAGTATATTTTAGATAGTGGTTAACTTGGAACCGCTATTATATGTTCACTTTTAAGAGCGGTTAATCTTAAAAGTGACACATATATAATAGCGGTTCCACTTTAACCGCTCTTAAAAGTGACAAATATATATTAAAATTGACACATGTTGAATCAGATATCGCTCGAGCGAGAATTGTGTCGCTCAAGCGAAATACAACCCGAGAGTCCCGATTTTTTGCAGGTGGTGTCGCTCGAGCGATGTGAATTTCGCTTGAGCGAATGTTGACCTAGGGCAAAACGTCGATTAAAGTTAGCCGCATAATGTAACATGGGTGACCACATGTTTGAATCGGATATCGCTCGAGCGAGAGTAGGGTCGCTTAAGCGAATCACAACCCGAGAATCTCCAATCTTAGCAGGTGGTGTTGCTCGAGCGATGTAAATTTCGCTTGAACGATATTAGAAAAATAAGATAAAATGATCGATTATTTTAGGTTATAATCGATTATACGTTATGATGATCGATTATAAGTGGTATATGATCGGTTATATTTTGCTAATAGATTATAATTTTAATTTATCTGTCATAATTAAATGTAAGCGACAATAAAGTCGCTCAAGCGGACCTTACATGTAACCTAAAGGCAAAATCAGTGAGCGACGCCGACAGTCACTTGTTTCACATCTGCCCGATAGAAGCACTGACGTTGAAGAAATTTGTTGATTGTTACCTTCTTCTCGCCATCAATCTCCTCCATTATCATTATCTATCGGAGATCCTTCAAAAAAATAGTACAATCTAAATTTACATTGATGTTTATATGTCTACAACAATTAAAATTCACAAGTCATTCATTATTACAATCCTTCAACTTCATGTTAACAAATTGTTCCACCAGTTCGTTGTACACATCACACTATATAATTGCATCCTGTCTTTTCTTTACGGTGGCGAGAAGCTCGATTTGAAGAGCTTGACACTGCACCAACGAGGTTGACATATGACCCGATGAAGAACATGACCTCTTGCTTTTGTCCTCGCCTGGCACCGACAAAAGAAAAAGAGTGTGAAAGAGACCGAGGATTATAATGAAACATCATTATAATGCCGGTTTAAATACAATTGGACAAACATTAGCAATGGACCGAGATAGCTAACCGTAGTCCCTTTCAGGGGACTATCATCTACCAACAGAGATGCCTTCGCCTCCACATTGTCGTATTTTGTGGACATAACCCACTCTTTACTAGGTCGTTCACCAATCAATATCAGACCATCACAAGGTAGACTTGTCAGCTCTTTTCACAGAGTTTGGTCGATTTGAATCTCAATCCCCACCACTTCTAACGTTAGAACTTCTTCTTCCACACTTAAGTTACTGTAGAATTCTCGAATAAGATGTGGATTGCTTTGTTGATTTCCAAGAAGGAATTCAACTCTACATCCTTCAAAACTCTAATGAAGTCAAATCTGTTGTTAACAAAGTATTGGGTGTCAAGGACCTTTGGGGCTATCACCTCCTTCGTGGTCATAGTTTGGGTACTTGAAGAAGTCGCTTCTGAGTGGGTGCGCTTGGAGCTTTTTCTTTTGTCAGCCATGATTTATGTTTACGACTATTGAGATAGTCAACAGTGAACGAAAATAGAGAACAGAGAATTTGCGAGACATTAGAAAGCAAAGAATACATTAACCTGTTGTTGTATGCTTCTTCTTTACAATGCAAACGAAATCAAACAAGATGAACCATCAAATTAAAACTCAAAACCGAAATCAACAACCATATTAAACCCTAAACCAAATGAACAGAACCCAATATTAAACATAGACGAACCAGAGCCGGGAGACACGAACGCCGGGAGAGAACAAACGTTTCTTTTGCGTGCGCCGGCGAAAGAGATGCAGAGCGAAATTATGTAAAACTATAATCGCTTAGCACAAACTATGATCCATGTTCTCCAACTATAATCGATCATTCTCAATTATAATCGGTTATCGAAATTTATGATCGATTATTATCCAATTATAGTCGATCACTTTGACATATATGACTTTAGATAGCGGTTAAGTGGTCAACCGCTATCTAAACTACATTTATTATAGCGTTCCACGAGTCAACCGCTTTTTAAAAGTATGATATAAGAGAGCGGTTATATAAAAACCGCTATTATAAAGATAACTTAGATAGCGGTTTACGCCTAACCGCTATCTAATATATATTTTTAAAAGCAGTTCTTATTCACCGCTATCTAAGGTCGCTCAAACGAAAAACACATCGCTTGAGCGAGGACACCTGGAAAAATTGGGGATTCTCGGGTTCTGTCTCGCTCAAGCGACGTTACGATCGCTTGAGCGACAAGTGATTCGTATATGCGGTGAACCGAGTTATATGGCTAACTGCGTTGGACGTTTCGATAGTGGGTCAGTACTCGCTCAAACGACTACGTAATCGCTTGAGCGACAGTTGATATTATATGTGGTGAACCAATTTATATTAGATGGCTAACTGTGTAGGACGTTTCATCTGTGGTTCAATAGTCGCTCAAGCGAGGATGACATCGCTTGAGCGATCGAACCTTAACCAATGGGGACCATCCGGTTCTGTCTCGCTCAAGTGACGTTTTGAACGCTTTAGCGACAAGTGATTCTAATATGTGGTGAATCGAGTTATATTATTTGGCTAACTGCGTTTGACGTTTCGTCATTTGGTCAACACTCGCTCAAACGACAAAGTCATCGCTTGAGCGACGAAGCCTACGAACAAGGGGGACTCTCGGGTTCTTTCTCGCTCAAGCGACGGTGTACTCGTTTGAGCGACAAGTGATTCTTATATGTGTTCAACCAAGTTATATTATATAGCTAACTGCGTTGGACGTTTCCTCTGTAGGTCAACAGTCGCTCAAGCGAGGAAATCGTCGCTCGAGCGACGATACCTTCAAACAATGGAGACTCTCGGGTTCTATCTCGCTCAAGCGACGTTATGATCGCTCGAGCGACAAGTTATTCGAATATGAGGTGACCCATGTCATATTATGTGGCTACCTACTTTGAGAAATTCATCGCTTGAGCGAGGTACCCTTACAAAAAATAGGGACTCTCGGGTTGTTTCTCGCTCAAGCGACGTTATTCTCGGTCGAGCGGCAAGTGATTCAAATATGTGGTTATCCATGTTACAGTATGTAACTAACTGCATTGGACATTTGGCCAAGGCTAAACTTGAATGAGACGTGACATGCAAATTTCAATTTGTTTTTTGTTAAGCGCATTATTTACAACTATTAAGCATGCAGTTATCTGTTATGTACAACGATGATACGTAAACCTATACATCTTTCCTACAATAAATTTTATCACTTGTACAATTTCTATATGCTAGTTTATATTGTTCTCTTCCCTTGTTCTTTTAATCTGAATTTCTTCTTTTATATTACATATCAACATCTTGTCATCAGAAATTCAAATGGAAATTAATGACCATTTTGTTTTGTGGAACTAAGTTATACTTGGCCGATTGTTGATGTTACTATGATGTTTACTTGAACAGTGAGAGTGGGTGGTGGCCACGCTCCATATATCATCCAAGTATGTAGTATGAGGATAGTTCTACCCTTATCAACCAATCCAACATGCCCTTTAACAGTTAATACTATAGAGGAGCATCTTCATCTTCATATGTTCGTAACATATAAATCTGGTAGTAATTACATGTATTTTGTACAACTGTAGTTCTCAATATACACTCTCTGTTATATGGAGATAGTCTGCATCATCTGAATAGGGATATTGTGCAACTGGGACGGTAAAACCCAATCAATAATGTAATTGTAAAAAGAAAAAATGATACAAAAAATAGTAACCATGGTCCAAAGTATTCTCCTAGTACTTTAACAAAAAATATTTTTACATAATTTACTATACTTCCTCCTAACTCAATATAATTAGACATAATTAGAAAGGAATTACAATAAACAATTTTGTAAAGAAGAAACTCAAATCAATTTAATTGATTTAATGATTTTGAAGAGATATCATAATAAAAATAATGATGATTATTTAAATAAATTTACACAAATAAAATTTAGATGACAACTATCTTACCCATAAATTTTTGTGTAGTGGAAAAACATTTTTTAACTCAATTTCTTACGCGGCGCCAAGATGTTGCTAATAGAGATAGGATTCTCCAATGAATAGTATCTAAACTTGTCCTCTTCCCAACCCTTAGACTCTTTTTATCCGATATTTCCAAATTAAATACAAACCTTGCTCGAATCGGTTATTATCTACACACAATTTTTTAGATAATGGGTGCGATTTTCAAAAAGATTTCTGATACCTCCCCAAGAGAGATATGTTTAACACTTAGCCAACCTCGTAAACCCCATATATTAATTAATTGACGAAGTGAATAACCTGGACGATAAAAAACAAACAAATCTAATATATTATATTTAAGTTCAACAATAATAAATACATTAATAATTATCAACTAGCTAAAAAAGGCATCTACAATAAAAAAGAAAAAAAAAAACTAGTTGAACCTCCCGACCCCGCCTACTTATCTGGTTTTTTCCGATACATTGTCCCCTCCCCTTCAATCTGATTTACAGGAACTAATGAATTCTGTTTTTTTTAGGCAATAAGCCTGTTTCCATTGAATATATACAAAACACTACAGTGCTCAGAATTCCAAATTTGCGAGTAGGAAGGCCAAAATCATATAATTGGCTGTCATGGCAAAACTGGAAGTCTGCAATGCTAATTGAAAATTGAACATAAAGACTTGTATAGGTTGTTCTTGGAGGACAACAGATTTAGAAGGCATTCAACCCTCCTCTGACTCTGCACATAAAAATAGATATCAGAACTAAGCAAGGGTTTGTTAGAAGAATAGACATGCGTGCGTTATAAGGGAAGCATTAAGTTACATGAAAATGATACAGAAAAGCAGTTTCAAGTTTCACTTCAACAATTTATCATACCATGTATGGCTTCCATGTTATTTTCCTTGAAAACACCTAGAGGTGATCCATGAACAGAGAGAAGCATCTTGCCAGGTTTGGGCAGTCTAAGTGTTTTGGGTGTCATCCCAACAGATAACCTCTGACTAGTCACCTGCAAATGTTTACAGAGCCAAATTAAAAACAGAACGTATTTGGTGCAGTTGGCTTTTGTAAACCTCACACAATCATTATAAAGTTACAAGAAGACTAGAAAACTCAGATTTCAAATAAATGTTGTAATTCTGATACTGAGATAAAATATAAAGTATTCCAATCTTCATCTGACACTCCCGAGTTGTTGACCGTGTCAACGGGTAGAAAAACCAACTCAAATCAATCCAGATTCATTCAGCTGTTAAAACTCAAAAGGTGTTGGATATTTTTATTTCTTAGCAAAACAAACCAGAGTTCATAATAAAACAAATAAATGAATAAATATATAGTAAAGTCGCAAGAAAGAAGATACGAACCCCGGGAGTCTGAAGACCTTCCTGAACTGCTAGAGTGTGAGTGTCCGATGGCTCCTCCAAAGCCTATACAAACAATAGAAATTTAGTTCAAAATAGGAACAAAAGAGATCCATTTAAATTGACGAATTCTTCGAATCACATTATAAATAAGAATGAAAGAACAAAAGTAATCCTATTGCACCTATTATCAGCAGTGCACGTCATTCAAAGCACCCTACAAAAGGTGCATGATAATAACTAATAACTAATAAAAGTGAAAAGAGAACAAACATACAATGTCCTTGAAATGCAGATTATCAGCACCAATAAAGCTCATTCTCCCTGCCACCAAAGAAGTAACTATTATCAATAGTCAATTATAAACATATGTCAGGTTTTGCAAGTGCGTGTAGGCATAGGATAAAAAGCAGGATAAAACACATTCTGATTCCAAAGAGCGTAAAACATTATTAACATATAACCCGTTTGGACAATTTTCTTCATAGGTACTTCTAGAAGAAAAAATGAAATGAATTTTTAATTAAAATTAGTTTATACATATATTAATTTTTATAATCTCTTGTATAGCTTCTCTGCATTGTTGTGTATAAGCTAATTTAAGCTAATGAAAATTTTAGTTGATAAAAAGCTTATTTCATTTTTTTCTTCTTCTATAGATAAGTTTACTCAAACAAATCCATATTCTACTAGACTAAGGAAACGCAAAATAAGCCTCTAAGATATTAATGAAGTTTATAAACTTATTAAGTCGCAAACTGCACATCCAGAAGCATTTTTTTTTTTCTAATTTTCTCAATTTCAGAACTAATGTGAAAGTGTTGGACATTTACGTAACTCAAATGGTGTTTTACCCTGAAAAGTACCTGCACTGACAGAATAGTCAAACCCAGGGAAGCGAGGGATCGAGGCAATGGACAACCTTTGGAGCAGAGAAGCGTGCACATCCATTCCGTCGTTACAACCATCGTTCTCTCTCCATTTCACTTCCAGATTCTTGCTGCGTTCGTCGTTCACGATAGAGAGGTTCGGTAGGGTTTCTTCAAAAACCTGCAACACGGGCTTCTGAAGCTCCTCGGGGCTGAAACACGAGCGCAGCAATCGCAGCTCCGTGAGCAGGTGCTCGATCTCCACGTCGCGAACCGCCCTGATCGCTCCAATTTGTCGCTCCATCGCTACACCGAAGTTCAATTAAACTGAAAACACATCGCAAATGAAAAGAATAAAATAAAATCGAAATGTGGACAGGAACCTTGGATTTCGAGGTCGATGAATTCTGGTGCCTGCGTCTGAATTTGAGAGTCTGGTATTGATTCCCGTGCTTTCGCTGTTTTCTTCGTTCTACGCTTCGGCATTTTCGGGCTCGAACAAAAATAAAAAAAATGTAACGAAATACTCGACTCAACCCACCGAATCTGTGTTCACCCAAATTTGTAGATTTGTGCTTTGAGAGAGAAGACGCGGAACGAAAAATGTAAGTTTTGAAATTTGAACAGATTGATCCTTTCGTTTATTGGGTCAACTGTTCCAAAACCGTTGAAAGAATGATTAAGTAGATGGGTTGAAAACAGACGAGGATTTAATATAAGTTCTGTGTGTTTAGGTTTACACAAACGTGTGTTTAGGTTTAAGACTTGGTGTAGTAGGTGAAAATGTTAACATTTAGAAGGAAATATTGATTGTCATACTAGGATTAGGACTTTCGTGTAGTAGGTGAAAATGTCGACATTGTAGAAGGAAATATTGATTGTGATACTAGGAGACTATTTCCTGGGAAACATGTTACTTTGGAAATGATTTTTAATCAACTTGTTAAACGTCAAAATGATCAGGATATCCGTTGTACATACTTTTTAGGTTTGTCAGAGTTTTTATTCCCTAATAAAGTAGGTATCGCACATTGTGGATTTTTTAAGTTAATAGATAATATATCTTGTCTTGGAAAGTATAATTGGGGAAAAGCAGGGTATGAATATCTGGTTGGAAGTTTATGTGAAGCATCGATTTATTTGAAGAAACGAAGAAATTGTTCACACTTCCGTGTACTAGGATGTGTGTTTTTGTTACAGGTAAATCTTAAATTACGATATATGTTTTGTTAGAATATTTTCAATATAGTCAGCTGATTTGATATTGTGCATTTTGTTTATATGAATTCATGGGTTATGGAGCATGTACTTTATAATTTCAAATAATGTAATGAGATAAGTCGATTTCCGAGATTTTTACAATGGACCTCTGTTGTAATTTGGGAAAGCAAGATTGTAGTTGCATTTAATCATAATAGGGTTAGTTCATTAAAAATTTAGTAGAAATGTTTGCAATATTACTTTACCTTATGTCAAAATGTGATTTCAATTTGACATTGTTTGTTACTTATAGGTTATTCATGACTTGTGCGTCAGAAATGAAGAGCTTGCTCATGATATAGTGAAAGAAGCATTAGGACATACCACTTATACATCTGAAGAAGTGAAAATTTTTACTAATATGTTGTGTGGAATTATTGCTGAGAATCAAAGGTTGATCGCCGTAACCAAACAACAGGAATCAACAATTGAAAAATTAGAGGAAGATGTAACACAATTACAGGAATTGTTAGATGAAGCAAAACTATCAACAGAAGAACTAAATCCTCCATCATGTGGGATGTACTTTTCTCCAGTATTTGAAGGTAGTACTATTAAAGAGATGAAGCATCATGTTGAAGCAACAGAAGAATCAAATTTGCATTGTGAAGGGTCAAATATGTATACGCGACTTAAAGGTCATCCAAGAATAAGGTATAAAAGTTTTATGGTCAAAACACCGTGGACGACTAATTCAAGGAAAAGAAAAAAGGCGACATAAGTGTTGTGTAGATGAATTATTTTGTTAGGTTTTTTTGTAATTGTAATTTATATTTGATGCAGACCTTTATGATGTAATTTTTGTGGCATGTGATAATGTTATATTGTACATTACTTTTTATCTCATAGTGATAGGATTGTATCTTCCTCCGATGTGCATAGAATTGAGCAGCTACAAAAGGAATGGTGTGCATATTTTTATCATATATTTTTGAAGGACAAAATTTGTACCATAGACTCTTAGCGATTTTTTTCATCATTTCAATTATTTGATGTACATATATACCAAATTCGTTTCATGCAAATTTTAGTTTTAATTTGTCAAATTTTGAATTGTTTTCTATAATTCTGTGAATATATATAGTATGCAGGCTGGATTTTGTTAGATTAATTTGAAATATACCCTGAAATTGTGGTGTATCAGGTACAAATTATGAGAAAAAAAAATTGGAATTTCAAAATTTAAATAATTTTTTTTTTAAATTGGGACTTTAGATAGCAGTTCCCAGAACCGCTATCTAAACCTACTAAAGAGAGCGGTTCTAGAACTAACCGCTATTAAAAGTATATTTTAGATAGCGATTAATTTGGAACCGCTATTATATGTTCACTTTTAAGAGCGGTCAAAATATTAACCGCTCTTACAAGTGACACATATATGATAGCGGTTCCACTTTTACCGCTCTTAAAAGTGAATCAGATATCGCTCGAGAATCTCAATTTTTTGCAGGTGGTGTTGCTCGAGCGAGGTGAATTTCGCTTGAGCGAATGTTGACCTGGGTCTAAACGTCGATCAGAGTTAGCCGCATAATGTAACATGGGTGACCACATGTTTGAATCGAGTATCGCTCGAGCGAGAAAAGGGTCGCTCAAGCGAAACACAACCCGAGAAACCCCAATCTAAGCAGGTGGCGTCGCTCGAGCGATGTTGATTTCGCTTGAGCGATATTAAAAAATTAGATAAAATGATCGATTATTTTAGGTCATAAATGATTATACGTTATGATGATTGGTTATAAGTGGTATATGATCGGTTATATTTTGTTAATATATTATAATTTTAATTTATCTGTCATAATTAAATGTAATCGACAATAAAGTCACTCAAGCGGACCCTACGTGTAACCTAAAGGCAAAATCGATGAGCGACGCCGACAGTCACCTGTTTCACATCTGCGCGATAGAAGCACCGACATTAGCAATGGACCAAACAGTAGTAATGTAAACAAACAGATAAAATCAATAATTTTTGCAAGTAATGATACTTACTTATATCACCTCCTTCGTGGTCACAGTTTGGGTACTTGAAGAAGTTGCTTCTGAGTGGGTGCGCTTGGAGCTTTTTCTTTTGCCAGCCATGGTTTATGTTTACGACTATTGAGATAGTCAACAGTGAACGAAAATAGAGAATCTGCGAGTAATTAGAAAGCAAATAATCCATTAACCTCGATGGTTGTTGTATGCTTCTTCTTTATAATGCAAACGAAATGAAACAAGATGAACCATCAAATTAAAATTCAAAACCGAAATCAACAACCATATTAAACCCTAAACCAAATGAACATAACCCAATATTAGACATAGACGAACCAGAGCCGGGAGAGAACGAACGCCGGGAGAGAACGAACGTTTCTTTTGCGTGCGCCGGCGAGAGAGATGCAGAGCAAAATTATGTAAAACTATAATCGCTTAGCACAAACTATGATCCATGTTCTCCAACTATAATCGATCATTCTCAATTATAATCGGTTATCGAAAATTATGATCGATTATTATCCAATTATAGTCGATCACTTTGACATATATGACTTTAGATAGTGGGTTTTGGCCAACCGCTATCTAAACTACATATATTACTGCGTTGGACGTTTCGATAGTGGGTTCAGTCTCGCTCAAGCGACTAAGTAATCGCTTGAGCGAAAGTTGAATCTTATATGTGGTGAACCAAGTTATATTTGATGGCTAACTGCGTAGGACGTTGCGTCTTGGTTCAATAGTCGCTCAAGCGAGGATAACATCGCTTGAGCGATGGAACCTTAACCAATGGGGACCCTCGGGTTCTGTCTCGCTCAAGCGACGTTATGAACGCTTGAGCGACAAGTGATTCTAATATGTGGTGAACAAAGTTATATTATTAGGCTAACTGCGTTTGACGTTTCGACATTAGGTCAACACTCGCTCAAGCGACAAAGTAATCGCTTGAGCGACGAAGCCTTCAAACAAGGGTGACTCTCGGGTTCTGTCTCGCTCAAGCGACGGTGTACTCGCTTGAGCGACAAGTGATTCTTATATGTGGTCAACCAAGTTATATTATATGGCTAACTGCGTTGGACGTTTCCTCTAAAAGTCAATAGTCGCTCAAGCGAGTAATTAGTTGCTCGAGCGACGATACCTTCAAACAATGGAGAGTCTCGGGTTCTGTCTCGCGCAAGCGACAGTATCATCGCTTGAGCGACACTTATATAAGGTGATCCAAGTGATATTATGTGGCTAGCTACGTTGGACGTTTCGTTTGTAGATCAACACTTGCTCAAGCGACGAAACCATCGCTTAAGCGACAAAATTTTCAAACAATGGGGATTCTCGGGTTCTATATCGCTCAAGCGATGTTATGATCGCTCGAGCGAAAAGTGATTCGATAATGTGATGAGCCATGTCATATTATGTGGCTACCTGCGTTGGACATTTCGTCTACGGCCAACACTCGCTCAAGCTAGAAATCCATCGCGTGAGCGAGGTAACCTTACAAAAAATAGGGACTCTCGGGTTGTTTCTCGCTCAAGCGACGTTATTCTCGGTCGAGCGGCAAGTGATTCAAATATGTGGTTATCCATGTTACAGTATGTGGCTATCTGCATTGGACATTTCGTCTGTGACCAAGGCTGAACTTGAATGAGACGTGACATGCAAATTTCAATCTGTTTTTTGTTAAGCGCATTCTTTACAACTTCTATTAAGCATGAAGTTATCTGTTATGTACAAAGATGATACGTAAACCTATACATCTTTCCTACAATAAATCTTATCACTTGTACAATTTTCATATGCTAGTTTATATTATTCTCTTCCCTTGTTCTTTTAATCTGAATTTCTTCTTTTATATTACATATCAACATCTTGCCATCAGAAATTCAAATGGAAATTAATGACCATTTTGTTTTGTGGAACTAAGTTATACTTGGCCGATTGATGATGTTACTACGATGTTTACTTGAGCAGTGAGAGTGGGTGGTGGCCACGCTCCATATATCATCCAAGTATGTGGTATGAGGATAGTTCTACCTTTATCAACCAATCCAACATGCCCTTTAACAGTTAATACTATAGAGGAGCATCTTCATCTTCATATGTTCGTAACATATAAATCTGGTAGTAATTACATGTATTTTGTACAACTGTGGTTCTCAATATACACTCTCTGTTACATGGAGATAGTCTGCATCATCTGAATAGGGATAATGTGCAACTGGGACGGTAAAACTCAATCAATAATGTAATTGTCAAAA